TGTTCTAAACCTGTTAAATTGTAGGAGATACAAGGCTTCACATGAGTACAATTTTGAGGTAGATTGGGAAACATGAATCTGAACATGAAAAGCTTAGTGAGAGGGTTTTATTAACTGAGAGAAGCTTGCTAAGAACTTTGAAATGGTACAGAGCTCCTGGAGGAGGTGATGTTGCATGGGGTAGACTAGGCAACTGTGATAGGTAGCTTATCAGATAGATATTAGTGTGACATAGCTGCTTGAAATGAAAAAAACAAACTGACCCTCCATATTTTGGTATATAAGTGCAAACTTTTCAGTATTGTTTCTTGTGAATTCTTCTTTCTTTAGTGCAACTCCAAAAGAGTACACATTTTGATTCCAGAAGGAGTGTCGTTGTTAAAAATATGAACTCTGCTGTGTGGATAACTACTACCAGGTGGGAGGTGTTAGCTTATTTGGACATGCATACTCAAAACCCTCTTTCTGCCATGGTTTGCTCTTTTACATCAAGTAGCTGTTGGAAGGACTTGTAGCTTTAAACATGGAGGAAAAACTTGCAGAAGGTGGATAGGGCTTCTTGGCCATGCACAGCCAATCTGTGCCTCTCAAAGCCTTGACTTGCAGGCAGAGCATGAGGCTCCCACACCAGGGCCACCTCATCTGGCCAGCAGCAGGACTGTGTTGGGAAACTTGGGATGCTTAGTCCAGCTAATTGCATGTCCGCACAAGGGAATAAGAGTTGCCAGTTTGCCATAAGACTGCATGCTCTTGGATTTGGGGTCTGTAAAGGAGCTGTGGGAAGCTTGAGGAATACCCACTCATTTCAGCTTGAGAACTGCTCATAACCTCAGCTCTTGTGTCTGTCTTATGTGAAGATTTGTTATAGGTACGTAGCCAGGAGGTTGTCTGCTTGCATGCTTGGTATAAATACCTTTTTTTTTGTTCATTCTGGGATGTGGTCTTCTGTAGAGCTTCCTGCTTTTGAAGCAGAGCAGTGGAAACTGTTCAGATGTTGATGCGTCTTCATCCTCATTTGTATCTGAAATGACCCTGGGCTGGTCTGCTTGATCTCAAGCTGTAGCAAAAATAGCTGGTTGCCAGGAAAAATACTCCTAAGCCTGTAAGTGGGCTGTGTAACTGCTAGTAACACAAACACGAATGAGAAATTTAATCATTTATTCTATTCCTGACTTGGTCATTTTTGTCATCCTGAAGCTGTCATGTTCTCCAGCCCCCTACCTTGGACCTCTTCTTTTGCCATCCAGTTCTAGTTGGACATACCTCACTTTCCTAGGCACCCTTGCTATGGGGTGCACATCCTCCTGAACTCGCTTGTCAAGCTCTCAAACATGAAGGTTTTGTAACTGCCTAATCTTTCACATAACAAGAAATTTCCAAGTCTCCTTTATGCTGAGAGGGTTTTTTGTAGCCTCTGACAGCAGATGTGCACCTCCCCACTTTATTCCTGGTGGCAAAGTGTTTAGCCCCAAACTCTGTTCTCATTCCTTCCTACAGCTTCCGTGCTTATGGTAGGGGGAATGATTTGGCTGAAGTTTGACTGGGCTTCTTGTGTACCTACAATAGATTCTTTTGAAACAAGAAAAATAGGTACCCAGTCATCCTATGTAATCTTGGTATAAACTCCTAAATTGTGCCAGAAGCAGCTTTAAATTGGTATGAAGACCTTCCTTGAGTCTTTGATAACTAAGTGAGGATGATCCCTATTGCCAGATTTATCTGGATAAATGAACAGTGCCAAGATTGCTTGATCCTGGGTGCTTCCACTCAATTCTGGTCTTTGAATTTCTGGTATTGATTTTTCAACTAGAATCTTATGAAGCATAAACTAGTGGATTGCTTGATATTCCAGCCAAAAGCACATGCATGCCTGCCTTTAAATTAAATACCAAAGACGGCCTTTACTGGATTATTCAAGTGATTTTGCACTTAGATTTCAGGTCTTGGAAACTTTCATGGGTTTTTGGGTAGACTCCTATACCTGGAGCTTCAGTTCTGAGAGAACTTAGATAAAAAAATGTGCTAAATTAACTGCCAATCAGACTACTTTATGTGGCTGCTTAACCATATGACCAACTTACTATTCTTATTTTAGGCTGGCAGTCTCTATGGCTAACTTTTTCTGAATATATTCTTTAATGGACAGCGATGATACAAGTTGTCTGTCTGGATTTCTGGATTTGTGAAACTATGAATGGACAAACTGGAGATTGAGACACAAGGTTAAACAGCAGTAGTAAAAAGCAAGAGGGCTTAAGAGCAGCAGAAAGCAATAAACATGAAAAAAAAGGCAGGTAGTGGGATTTATAAATTTTTATTTTAGGTTTTTAGTGTCAGGCTCTCTCCTTAGTATATTATGATCTCATATGGCCTGTTCTCATCAAATTGCTTTAATTAAAAACAAATACAAAATGTGTGCACCATGAAGCAAAATGTTAATGTTTCCAAAGGTCCAGTCACTAGGATGAGGGGAGAATTTGGAATGTTTTACTGACGGAGTGGGCTGGAAGAAAAGAGCTTCAAGATGATTTTTTTTTATATAATTAGACTAAACAAAGAATATGCAAACCAAGAAGGGGGGGCATTAAAAACAAAATAAATCTCCTAAATGTGTTTGTACACTTATTTAGTAATGGACAAGGTTACTGTAAATGCTTTGGAAAAATCTCCTCAGGAGCCCACGGCACAAAATTAAAAGTGCTGCGGTAGTGAACTTCCTTGCAGGGTTGTGTCCCAGCGTGCTAGGGTGCAGCTCAAATACCTCACTGCAGCATCCACGTTTTCATCATCGGATGCTGTGTCCGTAGCAGGAACTGGTGTTGAACAGGAGCAAGATGACTCATCTCTCCTTCCTGAGCAGGGAAGAGCGGGGCGAGTCCTTTCAATAACAGCTCTCTGCTCTCCTGAGAATTTATTGTGGAGGATGAGGCGTGGCTTTCAATCTCAGCCCACAGTCACTGTAAAAATCTAAGTGTTTAATGTAAAACCGCAACGCAGCTGCTTAATGTCCCTACTAGTGTGTCAGGTGTCCAAATAGCTGTTAAGACTGCTTAAACTGTAGTGACTGAAAGGAGATCTTTCCCATACAAGGTCAAAAATACAAATATTTCTAGTAAAGGGCTGGTGCTTTCTTCTAAGCAGCCTTATCAGCTGCAGACTAACTTCCTATAACCTGCTGCAGATGACATAGCCTAATAGTCACTCGTTTTGATTAGTCTTGTGTCAGACCTTAATACGTGACTGGTTGCTGGATGCTCATTCCCTCTCTTTTTACATGAGAATGGTGCAATTTATTGCTTTATTTGTTCTGCAGCCATGGAGTGGGTATCCCCACCTCCAGGGCAGGGTGCTTTCAACAGGGTGACCTGGTGAGTGGCTGTTGACGTTAGCCTTGGGGTCAGGCTGTGGCAAGAGTGACCGGGGGCAAACGGGAGAGCCTGCGCTAAAGGTGAGGTTTTTCCCGAGGAAAACCAGGTGCAGGTGTGGTCCTGCCAGTGTGCGAACTCATCTGCCATGGTTAGTTGTGTACTAGGTAATGAAAAAGTCTTAAGTGATTTTTGGGCTGGTGCAATATTTTTAATTTTTCTAATGTATCCTGGCTGAAGGAAAAGCATGCCAAGTGACTTGCAAGCTCTTTGCATGTGCAGGGGCTGTGTGCAAGCCCGGGCATTGACACAGCAGCAAAGCTCTCCCATTCAGCTCAGGCCTCCCATGGCTTATTTTTGTATCAACAAATCAAGTGTGAAAGCCGTGTATAGCGAGCTCCAACCGGCTAAAAATAAGCTCCATTATCTGCAGAGAAGGGCAGTGTTCCCTTCGCAGTCCCGGCTGCCGTTTGAGCAAGAGGAGATCGATCGGTCTCCTGTCTGGGGCTCGCCTTTCATAAAAGAAGGGCTGTGGCTTTAAGCAGTCGCTGGCTGCTTGTGCCAATTGCAGAAGCTGCAGTATCTGCCGCTGTCGGGAGCAATCGGCGCGGAAGCGGGGTAACCTGCAGAGGCGAGGTCCGGCCCTGCCGCTCGGCCGCCGCCGGACCAGCCGCGCTGGTGGTGGCCGCCACCTGCGCGTCGCCGATGAGTGCCGGGGGGCTGCGCCGGGGGCTGCCGGAGCCGGAAGATGGGCTGCTCTAGCGGCAAACTGTGCCTCTATTCTCAGTGTGCTGCAGCAAGGGTAATTAGGATTTGTTTCGCAGCGCCTCTCCGACGGCAGGGAGCTGGACGGGAGCTCGGCCGTGAGCAAGGTGAAGGCGCCCCGGCGGTGGGAAGCCAGGACCTTGTCACCTCCGCGCCGTCACCATGGGTGTGAGGTGCGGGCTGCCGAGCCGTGGAGCAGCTCTGCTGTGGCCCTACCTCGCATCTCCCTGGGGTGTGGGGCTGGGGCAGGGGGCCTGGAGCCACCTTCCCCTTGATGAGGTGCAGCTCCTAGGCAAAACGGAGCTTGGGTGCTTCTGCTCGTTCTGAGCACGGATTTCTTTATGATTTTTCTCAGTACAAGAAATGTCATCTATCTTAAGAACTGCAAGCGGTGGTGTAGGTTGTATTCAACTTTGAAGAGGGCCTTTATGTCCTGGAAGACTGAGCATCTAGCAAAGTTTTTTGTTTTGTGTTTGAGTAAGCTTAAGATAAATATTTAATGTATGCCTCTTTCACATATATACGATACTTGTGTGCCCTTGACAGCTATCAGTTGATTTGTTCTGGAGGCTTATGTTGCTACACCCATCATAAAATACATAATTAATTCCTGCAAAGTAGAATTTTAATTGCAGTGTTATCCTGGAAAAAGCTATTCTTTGTTTTAAAAGTATAACTTCCTTAACAACAGAAGAACATCTGTGTATTTTGTAACAGCAGAACTGTTATCCTAAATGATTCATATCTTGGCTTCTTGCTCCTGCCTCTTGTTTTCCTACAGAACACATGTAAGTTAATTATTGGAAGGTGCCCTGCTCAGATCACTAGTAACCAACTGTTCGGGTTTGTTTGGGTTTTTTTGTTCTGCAGAGGGAGGAAGCACTGAAACAGCGTAAAGAGCTATCTCAAGAGCTATTTAACCTTCGAGGAGAACTAGGTAAGAATTTATTTTTGTATTCTTGATGAGAACAAAAATGCGGCAGAACAGATTCGTGGAAAGACAGATGCCCTGGTATTGTAATGGCAGTCCTTTAATTCCCTGACTGAATTCTGCTCAGATACTTTAATTGCTGCATTTCTCTGGAGCCCTGACAGCATGACCCCAGGTTCACCAAATTTCCTGGCACTGATTGTGCCTAGCGGGGCCTCCTTGCAAAACGTGTGTCTGATGACCAAAGAACTCACTTTTTTCAAAATGGGAGGATGGCTGACAGTGTATATACTTCTGTTTGATTGCTAACTTATTTGTACACTGCTTGCCAGAGATTGCTGGCAAAAATCCATAAACCTGTAGAATATACTGCGCAAAATCTGCATTTTGCCTTAGTGGCTTCTAGGCGAATGAGCGTAACATTAACAGAAGGAAATGCTTGTCAGACTAATGAGATTAAATCTTTGAACTCATCCTAGTGTACAGCTGTAATGTGAAATTAAGTTGTAATGTGCAGGAGCTGCTTTTGCAGACTCTGAAGCTTAATTTAACTGCATTTAATGGTAACTTCATATAGCTTATTGGAGCTCAGCGGAATTGTCTTGTGAAGTGCATAAAGTCATCAGATTGAAAATGGTAACACTTGAAAGAGAAGCTAGCATTTTACCAAAGCACACTTCTGTTATGGTGAAGCCTCTTTAAAAAAGAAAAGCAGAAGTAATACATGTGGAGCGGTTTCAGATTATGTCACTTATTATTGAAAAGTTGGAAATGTTTATTTTCACATGCTTTAGAAGTTGAGTATTGTCTCAGCCAAACTTGAGTGTGAATGTAGGTCTTGTTACATGCAGATGGTGCATTTAATGTTCAGATTTAATTTTTAGCATCGATTAATAAAGGCAGGCATTCCTTGGCAACTACTCAGGATTGGAAGTGTGGTTGGGGAGGGAGTGGTCTCTCTGTCCCCCCAGCTGAAGCAACAGAGCACAGCTTCTCCACTTGTCACTATTACTGTTGTCCAGTTTTAAGGGTTATGTTAAAATGCATCTTTCTGGGAGCTTAATTTGATGCTACATAAAATTGGAAATGGATGAATGGGGTGTATCACAAGCAGATAAAGACTTGCAGCCTAAATAGGTAAGAGTACTAAGGACACTGCAGAAACTTTTAGTATTTTCTGTCTTGGAAGGTTAGTACTAAAAAGCTGAGGCTTTTCTAGAGCTCGGCGCAGTCTGGCATCTGTGAAGCTGTAGCTTTTAACCTTCCTACTGCTGAAGCACCTGGATTGCAGTTTTGCAGTTGTTTCAGTTAGGTCTCAGTAGGGGCTGGCTTTGAAGGAGCCTGGCCACCTTCTGCCTTTGTGTCCCTGTCTCCTGTCTTGTGCCAGCCCTGCTGCCTGGACAGTCATGCGCTGACCTGCCTGGGGACCTAAGCTGGCTGAAAACTAGGGGCTCGAAGTGGTGTTTTGCCAAAGCTTCCTGGCCTGGCTCAGCATGTGGCTGAAGGAGCACCGGTGCTGGAACAGAGGAAGGAGCAGCAGGGTGGAGGGTTGTGTCTGCATCAGCTGCACTTCTGTCACCCTAAAGGGGCAACAAGAAAACTGGAGTCTTAGTGTGGAAATGGGCTTCTTGCATTCCTACAAAGCTTTTTATAAACATTATAAACTAGATACAGATTTATTTTTTTTTTTATGTACATACATGTGATTTTTCTGGGCAAATCCATTTGTTTATCATGAAAATGATTTCAGAAGGATTGCTATTAGAGCAGGAAAGTCTGTTCTTCCATGTGCTTGCATCTTCAATATTATTTTTCCTTTATCAAACTAGGCACTGTTTGTCACTTATCAGGAAAGGGAAAATTCTGCTTGGATGGGCAGACCAGAAACTAGACAGCACTTTTTTGTCTGTTATCACTTTCAGGGTTGGTTTTGGTGGGGTGTTTTTTGGGGTTTGGGTTTTTTGGTTGGGGTTTTGTTTTTTGGGGGGTTTTTTGTGGTTGTTTTTTTTTTTTTTTTTTGAAAGCCTAGTTCTTTCCAAGGGTGCCTCACTCTTAACTGAGCTTCCCATAAACTTGTTGCCTTCCTACTTTGATTAACAGCCTGTTGAGCTCACATGTGGGACTCCCATTGCAAGAATATGCCATTTAGTATCACAGAATCCTCTAGGTTGGAAAAGACCTTGAAGATCATCAGTAGGTGGATAACTAGAAAAAACTTCAAATGCAACTGAGCTTGATGGATCTGTGATGCCCGAGTGCAGAGCTGTAGGCTGGGGATTCTGGCTGGTGTGCTGCCCTTGCAGAGCTGATCTTACTGGGTCAGCTCTGCAGAGGCATCTGCATGGCAGCCTCAGGCTCACTTCCCTTTGTAAGGTTTCCAGATCATGGTTTCAGTGAAGCATTTATTTTTGTGCAGCTTTTGTCTCAATCACATCACAGGTCTAGCCTGTCTGTACTTCTCTCTGCAATACATAAAGGGAGTGAATTTAATCACAGAAATTAAAAAAAATACACAGGTCTTCAATTCCATCTGGCTTTAAAAACATTTGTTTCAAAAACCTAAGAGAAATAAGTAAGCCAACCAGACCTCCTTTGTTGACAAGGTATAAGAAGAGCATTCTTTAACAGTAGCTTTCGCTGAAAATAATCTATTTAAATATACACCTGCTAATCAGCTTCCTGCTGCCACTGTTAAATGGGTATAGCTGAGCTTAAGATTTCCATAGGCTATTTTGTCACTAAGTACTGCAAATTTTCATTCACAGTATGATCTAGGCACAGATTGGCTCAGAAAGTCAAGCACAGTTTGAATGTTGTTTTGGCTGTGTGGACATGTGTACGTGTTTCGTGAATTCCTAGCTGTGGTGGTTTTAATGCCTGTTGGTTTGCAGTTTGGGAAGAGGCAGCGTAGGAAGAGGAACCAGGTGCGTCCAGCTCAGTGTAGCCTGTGCCCTGCACACTGCTGAGTTTGAGAGGAACGTGAAGTCTCCTGCAGCTCGCACCCTGCACACTTTAGACTCCTCAATTTCTTGCTTTGAAGTTTAATTGTGCACGCTTCCAAGCTCCTGGATTTACCTTGCAAAACCAAATTGGCTTGCTGTCAAATTGTCCATTTTGCAGGGTTATTCTATGACCCATTCTACCAAAATACCTTTCTGTTCAATGGTTTAAAGATGCATTGCTATCCCAGAACCTCCCTTTGGCAGTGACTGCGTGGCTGCGCAGAGCGTGGGGTGGACGGCTGCCAGACACGGTAGCTGGAAATGCGTTGGGAGGGTTAGCAACAACGGTGTGTTTGGGGATGGGCTTTTCCAAAGGAGATAAAATTTATTAACAGTCAGGCTCTGTGAACTTGGGTTTCCTTAAAATTTCTAGCTACAAAGACTGAACTTTGTGGTTTGAATGTAAATGTCTTAGTTCTGGGAGCCTGGAGCAGGTACAGATGTCCTGTTTGTCGCCTGTTTCCGTTTTTATTAAGATGCAAGTTAGTGTGTAAATTATTTCTAGCTACCTGCTTAATTATGTAAGCAGAAATTGCAAGAGCTGCATATTTCTTGAGAGGTACGAAACTACTCTAAATTAATTGCACTCCAAATTGTTTCGGAGCCTTTTTGCAACCATACTGGACATGATCCAGCTCAGTCCTGCCACAAAACAGCAGGTGCAAAGCTGACTCAGCCTGCGCCTTTGAAAATTGCTGTTCATGAGCCTTTTCCAGTGGGCTGGAGAGGCTTGCACATATCCTGTACAGCCAAATGCCTTACCCCTCACTCTCCCCGCCATTTGCTGCATTACAATTGATAAACACTATTTTCTTCAAAATACCTTCATGCTATTTTTAATTAATAAATGATCTTTAAAATGTTTTGGAGGTTGGGTTAAAAAAGACCATTGTGTGTTACAGGCAGGTGGAATGAATGTAATTTGGTTTTCAGATTTTGGTGATCCTTAAAAATAATTAATAGAAATGTCTACCTACTATTATTTGGAGCAAGGCCTGACTTATTCTGAGTTGTACACTTGCCTGCCTGCTGGTGCTGTAGGGTTTGCAGCATTAGAGGATAGGAACTTGCTTCCCAGCAGATATCTGAATGCTTCAAATACATATTCAATCAGACCCAATTAAATGTAGCTTAAAGCATGGTCTACCTGCCTCATTTCAACTTGCCCAAGCACAGAAATATGAAATGTGGCTTAATATCCTGTACCATTAGTCTCGCTATAGAAGTAAGACCAAGCAAAACTTGGTCATGAACTTGAAAGCATGTTTGGATAGAACAATTTCCAATATTGAGAAATGAATTAATTATTAGATAACAATTTAAAAAAAAATACTATATAGAGATGGAAGTGAGCCTTTGTGTTTACAGTAGACTTACTGATCAACGGAATATATACAATAGAAAATATAATGTTGGAGCAGTAAAGTGTTATGGACCATGACATAACCCATGTCTGTTAAAATGCTGCTAGTTTACTGTCCTAGTGACCTCAATTTCAAAATGTCAGACAGTCTAATAGCTTTTCATAAATCATAACTAGACCAGTGAGTGAGTTAAACAATTTTATGAAGATAACTTCATTTCAAAACAATTTAGGATTCAAAAAAGACCCATTATGTTTTATAATCTTAGAGCTATGGTTATGGTAATTTCTAGGGGAACATAAGTTGAAAAATGTTTTATTTAAGTAAAGAGCACATGTGGTATATAAATTTTTCTTCAAAACTAAGCACCGGTTCAATGAAAAAGCTAAGTTGAGTAGCCATCCAGTTTGGTTAGTAAGGAGTTTTGCAGTATCTCCTTGCAGTGGATAAATGGCCAAATTAAGGAATTAGTTGCCCTTTTCATGGTTTGTCCTTTTCTTAAAACAAGGCAGTGTATAGTCATAAAATACATGATTCAGTCTGGAGATGGATAGGGCTGTGCAGAATATTTGCTGCAGACCCTTGAATCTCAAGTGTGAGTACAAACTTTGGTTTACAGGACACCCCATAATTTCAAATTGACAATTCTTCAGTTGGTGCTTTTGTGGAAGCTTCACACACAGTTTCTTGCCCCACCATGATACTGGGAGTTCACTGGTTGTGTAGTGGTTCTGCTCCTTGTTTGGGTGGCAGGGCAAGTCAGGCTTGCAATCTTAAGGAAACATTGCAGCCTCTAGCTTTGTGGAGGCCAGACGTTACCTTCAAGGTAACAAACACAACATTCAAGTGCCAATGCAAGTTTTAAAAGTTTTTGTTTACCTTTGTAAGTTAGTCTTCTCATAACTCTAAATTGCAGACTGGCTGAACAAGAACTGATGTGTCTGTTTTCTTTGACAAAGGCGTGGTTTGCTATTTGATTTTTCTGAAGTGTTTTGCATCATCTGAAGTTCTGTGTGCTGACATTTAAAGATAAGGCAATAATAGGCTGCACATTCTTTTATCTAAATGGAGGCAAATGAATGGCTCTGGCCTTACAAGTAAAGAATCGGATGCTTGCTTCTTACTCTGTTGTGTTTAAAGGAAGGGGATCATTTGAAAGTTTCTGCTATGGTTACCTCAAATGAGGCATGTGAATTGCCTGCCTTTTAGCTATACTCCTCTTTGCTATACATAGTCAGGCCCATTCTGCATGCAGTTGGCTGTGTAACGTTTTCACATGACTTGCTACCTGATTCTTTGCATCATAAAATAATGCCCCCTACCTATGAGGTTTCCTCTTCCCCAGAAACATGACAATATGAGCATATATATTCAATAATGTTATGCCAGTGTGATAGAAGTGTGAATGCTTATTTTCCTTTTTTTCTTAATAATAGTTATAATAGAAGTTTGTGGAAGTAATAAAGATAGGGAAATAAAAAGCTTTGGTGGTGGTATAGAAAACTGAAATCTGCTTGGGTTGCAGAGAACGTTGTGGTATGTTTCAGTTGAGCCTTTAGTTGCATTGTTGCCAGTCATGGGATGAACAGCTTGGCTTAAATCTGTCCTGATCAGCAGATCTTTCACACAGACCTAGCGCAGAGCTAAGCCTCCTGTTCAAAGTAATTCAGGTAGACACACATGCAGATTGGTTTCCATGCAGTACAGCTCACCCTTACATCGTCTAGTCCAACTACAGGTTCCGAGTAATGGCAGCAGGGCCAAGACTTCTTTACAGTTTCCTTAAAAAAGAGTGCAAGTATCATTCATTGAGTTACTCACTTGCCCTTGAGCTGTAGCAAAGAGGGAATCCAACATGTGTGTACCTTGAGGCAGGCTGCTTTCCCTAGAGCCAAGCCCCGTACTTCTTTGGGAATCGGTCCTTGAAGATACTGTAATTTATATATCTTAAGGCTCAAACACAGCTGCAATGAGAATGAGAAAAATCCTTCAAACTTCGCATGCTTTTGCATAGAGTTTATACTGTTAGGGCAGTATGCCAAGCTCCTATAAAGTATGTATGCATGACTTCTCCTGTATTTGAAGATCAAATTAACATTTTAGCTGATTTTTCTCTTAAGCAGACACTCATCTGACTAATTTATTTTCAGCCTAAGCACTAGTGTCTGTATAGAGGCAGTTTTACCTAAGGTCAGTGACCACACGCTGGTGTTAGAGGTCCTGTTTCACTTTGCTTCCAGGCTTTGGGTGCAGTTGGAACTGCCTAAGGCACTTGCTCCAGTTATACCAACAGTAGGAAAATATTTCCTTCTATGAAGGCCTGTCTGTCTGCAGTTGGGAATGCTAAATTTCAAACTCAAAAATACAAGTTACTAACTTCTGTTTTGCTTTTTAATCAGCTGTAAGTGTGGGGAGACATCAGCCTAGGCAGTCTCCTTAGCTGAACTGTGTTAATATAAATGTGAAGAGAATTATACAGCATTTCATTTTGTTTTGTTAATACTCTGCACTTTCTGCCTGAGATTATTCCGTATCTTGCATATTTCACTATCTTGGTCAAATACATCTTAGCAGGACATTTCAGATTGGCAGTTCTGTATTGCCCTGTATTGGGTAGTTCATGTCAGGCTAGAATTGTTTCTCTGTTGCATATCTGAGTGCGAGTAACATGCTGAATGGATGATCTTGAGGATATTAAGCCTTTTGAATTTAGCTAAGTGGTTTATATATCAAGAAGTGAAGTACTCAGACAAATATGCTACTGAAATGGGATCAAATTAGGTGAAGTAACAAATCCAATTAATTTTTTTATTGGAGCACTCCAGTGTCTCTCATGAGACATTCATTCTTCTATGTCATGACAAACTGTCACGCTTGTGCTTTCTTTATGGGCTCTTGGCTTAACTAGATTCAATTAATTCTCAGCATAAGAAACAGCAAATTTGATACTTTTGCAAAGAATTTTTTTGATGTGTCTTGGAGGTAGTGCTCATTTCATGGATAAATTATATATGTCTTTGTATAACCATGTTGCTGTGCAGAGTGTTCGCTATCTTTAATGCTTGTAACAGACGGTGAAATTTGCATTGAACTTGATTCAGTTACTTTTTTCTTTTGACATCTTCAGTAACCACTTCTGCAGCTTGTGAGAAATTGGAGAGAGACAGGAATGAACTGCAAGTTGCTTATGAAGGGTTTTTGCAGAAGTTAAACCAGCAACATCACAACGATTTAGCTGAGCTAGAGGAGAGGCTTAAACAGTTTTACACTGCAGAATGTGAGAAACTCCAAAGTATCTGCATTGAAGAAGCTGAAAAGTACAAAGCGCAACTCCAGGAGCAGGTTTGTAACATTTGAAGTAGAAATGTTCTCCAGCAATTGCTTTCAGCTACAAATTAGCCTTCAGAGAATCCTGGGTTTTGCTAATAATGGAGTTACGTTATCTAATGTCAAACTCCATTTTGCTGCAACTATAAAAATATTACTGCACTAAGCTTGTGTTTAAATGTGGTGGAGATTCCCTGTGTTCTGCAAACTTCAGAGACTTCTAGAGCTCCACTGGATACTCGAGGCAGCTTGAGACTTAAAGTTTATAGAAACACATCTGGCTTGTGACCTTGCTTTGCAACAACTCCATGTGTGCGACAGATGCGTACGTCCTGTTGGTAGTGGTTAAGTGTAGGCATTGTTCTCATCTGTTAAGTGTTGTATGTGGCTGAGCTTTTCCTGTGACCATCTGTTAAGTGCTACCTAGACCATTTAAAATGTACTCAATGTACTGCATAAAAGCATTGGAACAATACTTTCAACAAGGGTTGACACATGTGAGGGGAGAAAAAAAAATCACGTTGTCATATTGCAGGTGGACAACTTAAATATCACACATGAAAATTTTAAGCTGGAACTTGAAAACAGCCACTCAGAAAAAGTAGAGGAGCTGAAAAAGGAGTATGAATCCTCTTTTTCAGGCAAGTATTTGTATTCAAGTATATATGCTGTAGTACTGTTAGTCACAAACAAAAATGTTCAAGTTTTTTCATCAGTATGTCCATTTCATTGTTCTTGGCTGTCAGCTATCTTTTAAAAACATTGCCTGAATTCCTTCTTTTGGAACTAAACAAGTCTCATTTTATATACAGAAATAACTGTGATCCATCATAGTTGAATGAAACTTTTTAAATGGTTTTAAGATAACTTTTTATTTCAGTAAAAGATGTCTGAATTGCCCTCAAAATCTCAAGTTGACAAGTAATTGCTCCCATCCCCCCAGTTCTATAAGGAGTGCCTCAGGATTGAAATTGAGTATAAGTAGGGTTATGTGCTTTCCAGACTGTCATGGGCATGTTGAGAAATATTACACCCTGCTTACAGTATACTGGGGCAAAGGTTGTTTTTCAAGGAGGGGGTGGTGAGCGTGCTCAGTTTTAAATGGCACTGCATCTAATTGATTTAAGTGATGATTTCCATCTTCCTTCCAAGGCCACTTGATAGCCAAGTTTCCAGTGATAATTTTGTGTCGTTAAACTGGTGACGCTTCCACTGCAGACGAACAGCACACAGCTCTGTGTGGCAGCTCCAAAGTAGGAAAGGAAATGTGTTTCTAGAAGCCTGTGGAAGACACAGTTTGAGTTTTGGCTGTGTGTTCCTTCAGAAATTCAGCTTTTGTCATATGTGGCTCGTGGTCAATTCATCCGTTTGTTGCATGTAGATGAATGCTTTCAAAATTGATGCACTGTCAACTAATGAAATGGATATGCGAGGGGACAATCAACAAATCTGAAGCAGCAGTAAATCTGATACTTTGTACATGCTTTGGATCAGTTGATAAATGTTCTTTTCCATGCTGTCATTGCCTCTGCATCTGTGCATATGTGTACTGGCTGGCTTTTCGTGCTGCTGCTTTTCAGAAAGGATTTTTGTCTTACACAGTATTAAAAATCTGCAAAAATAATTTGTTGCAGAGCTCAAGAATGCCCATGAATCTGAAAGGAAGTCGCTTGAAGATTCCTTTAAAGAGAAGCAGGAATTGCTAGAGGTTTGTTAAGGCTTTGAGTCATTGCAACAGTCTAAAACTCGGTACTTTGGTGATGTGCACTGAATTCTTGGCCTAACTATACTATATCTTTCATTTCAGAGAAAAATCGATGAATTAAAAAGTGAAAACAACTTGCTGAGTGAGAAATTGAAATTAGAAGAGCAAAAACAAATAGCCAAAGAAAAAGCCAGTCTTGTAAGTCTTGATCTTCAAAAGTAATGCAGCAGATCTTGTAAGCCTGGGTTTATTTTATTGCATAGTATGCAAGGTGTGCAATCAAGCCTGATAGGGCTTCTCCATACCTGTTAACGTTTTATGTAAATGTCGCCAATGCTGTGTGTTAACCTTACCATTACAAATCTATAAAGCTACTGAGTATCTAAGACAGCAGTGTAAGTTATAGCCCGAGTTAAATTGAAGACCTCCATGTAGACAGAAGTTGTACCATGGCTTTCTTCTGGCCAGTCGATAAATGTTGTAACGGCGCTACAATCAGTGTGGGCTTACATCACTCCTACAAAACTTCCTTCTTGTCCTTGAGTCTTTAATGCATTTATTCAGACATTGATTCATACTTGTGGCTGACTTACCCTTCAGATAAACTTCTGCTATTTTGTGCTGCCTTTCTTCCCAAGGCTGCTGCTTTCTGTGGTGCTCCTGGGTTAAAAATGGGCTCTGAGAGAGGTTTCGCATGCACTGGGAGGGTTAGACACAAACATGCTTTATCTTTCTGCCTACCTGGAAATAACTGCAATATCAATAGTATTGCTTATCCCACAAAGAGTAATTCCACACTTAAAAACTCACTTAGGATGCTTCTAATACAAGTTGCCCTAGTTTTCACTGGAATTTAACTTAATTTTTGCTCTCTTACTGCTTATTCTAGTGGCAGGACAGAGCTGCTGCAAGAAGAATCTGCAACCATAATACATTGATGTGGTTGGGAGAGATGATAGCAAAGAGAACATGCTATACACTGCACTTGGGAGTTTGAACTATATTCCACAGGCATGCCCAGATGTTGTCTGATTTAAAGGAACAATAGTCATGTGCTTTTACATAGCTGCAGATGCACTTTGCATCCTGACAGCATAAGACACATCATAAGCTTGAGGATTCTCTATGGGAAAATACTGATTTGACCCAGTATATTCTTCTGCACTACCAGAATTCCCATTTGCCCTTTGAAGACAGAGGTGTATTTCCAACTCTCCAGTATTATTTAGATAATGTCACTTGATATTCTCAGCTTTTTTGCTAATATCTTGTGTAGGCCTTTCAGTCTTTTTATCTGTCTCTGTGTTCTGCTGTGAGTAGCTAACGTGGTGGCTCAGATTTAACCTTAAAAAGACATTTTAAGACCACTGGGGCAGAGAAGGGAAACAAAAAATAATACACTTTGAACATACTCTAAACTGCATTTACAATTTTCAGGATCACTTTTCTCACTAGCTCCTAGATTCCATGTAAAGCCACAAAAGGGAAGAATGAAGTTCAAATTGTCTGCTGCCTCATCTAAGGCAGCATAGCACACCCCACTCTTATGTGTGAATAAATACTTCTATTCAAAAATAGAACTTAAGAATCATTAATGCCACAGTCCTTAAAAACAGGTAGGAGAATGAAGTAAGTAGGTGACGAGGCCCTTGTTACCTGTGAGGTGTAGTGGCTCTGCCCTTGTGGGACCACACCCCACAAAACTGTAGGCATTGCCCTCAGTCTTGGGTTTCTGATGCAGCAGTGAAGCTGTTAACATGGTACACCAGTATTCTTACCCAAATAGGCTAAATCATGTTTTCTTTGTTTATAAACACATGCTTAGTTACATTACATGCTTAATCATTCATTGATTTCTGTTTATGTTCCACTCAGACTACCTGGAAATGGACTGAGATTGGATTATTTCTCCTTATTTTTGCCTGTAACCTTGCCTTTGAAATGTAGAGAATATGTTTTACTCTGCAGTAATGGTTCCTTTTGCTGGAAAAAAGGTCCTGCGGAAACCAGATCTGACTCTGCCCTCCTCCTCTACCCTCCACCTCCTGGAAAACAGCAACAAAAAAGAAAAAATAAAGTCCTAACTTGATATATTGTAGATAAGTCATGGAGGTACAGCCATGCAAGATTTTTACATGCAATTGCATTACTAGGCTTCAAGAAGAATGTAAACCAGAAAATTTTCGATTTCTGCTTATGAGCCAGGTACCTTCAGACTCAAGACAGGGAAAATCAGCTACAGTTGAGTTCATAGTTTTAGGTTTCTGGTGCTTTTTGAACTATTCCAGCATCTGAAAACTCTTCAAATTTTCACTCTAATTACCTCTTGGGATGGGTTATGAGTAATACAAAATACATTTTGGAACTCCTAGCCTTAAAGGGAGCCTCTGGGCACTCCTGCAAAACAAGTTTTGTTGTGACAGCTTTAGTGCCTTCCTTTGACTCACGAGGGTTTTTCATGTTTATGCATAAAGTGTTTTTCTGAACAGCTGCTAAGATCACCTTCAACTGTCCACCTACACTGAAGGACAAACAAAATCAGAGGAGAAAGTGGTACTGGATCTTTTCTTTAATTCTAAACTGTTTGACTGACTTCACCTAGAACAAGTAACTGTCATTACCATACTGATTTTCTTGCTCTTTCTAAACAGCAGAGAACTACTTAAATTGTTCCTGAAATTCAGGGTACTAAGCAAACTCTGTGGAAATCTTTCAGAAAAACCCACAGATCATGTATCTGGAACAGGAGCTGGAAAGTTTGAAAGCGGTGCTGGAGATCAAGAATGAGAAACTCCATCAGCAGGATATAAAGCTAATGAAGATGGAAAAACTGGTGAGTTTTCCTTGGGGGCTGGCAGGTTTGGACTGTGTCTCTGAGTTATGTTCTGATAATGAACTTGGGCTGCTCAGACTTACGTGCAAGGATTAATTTTTTTGTTGAAAAGGAAACATGAAATGATGATGGGAAGTGCTCCCATTGCAGGTACAGTTAGATCTGCATTGGGCTGTAATGTCATGAGGAGGAAGGACTCACCCCAGATGCTGTAAATGACCTTTTAACTTCTTGAAAAACTTGCAAAAACTACTACTAAGTTAGAACAAGGTTAACTGGGAGCCTCTTCCACACTTCATTTCCTCTTACCTCTCCTCCCTCACTCCCCAAAGAAAAAATCCTTACCTGCTACATTTGCTTGAGTGTTCTGGAAGATAGATTGCACTGTCAGGAAAACATTAACATGGAAATGATCTTGATTAAACAAGAAGGGATCAAATACAAAATGGAATAAATGCTTTCATCTAGAGTTGATTCACTTAGGTCAATCATTTTAGCTGTTATCTTCATGCTACTTGTTTAGCTGTGTGGATTTGCTCCTGATCTGTGCAGAATTCCACATGAAGGCAATTTTGGGGGCAGAACTTGACATTACTTAGTATGCTCTTATTTGTGGCAGGACAGGGTCCTTATCCTGGGTGGGGCCTTTGAACACTGTTGCAATACTTGCTTAAGCAAGATTTTAATGAGGAAGTACAGAAAGAGGTTTGGATACAAAGGAATGCATTCATGTCAGTTGTTCAGTACTGTACAGCATCATGTTGCCCTGGTCTACAATTACTAGTAAATTACTAGGAGACCTTCATCTTTTCTGACAGACATTGGCCACAGTACAGAAGCCCTTGGAGGACCATCTAACCACTTAATCAGTTCTTCCTTAACTTTTGGTAATATCCTGCAGCAATGAAGTGAAATCAGGAGAGCAACAGGGAGAGTTTACACAGGGGAGCTCCTGAATTTGACACTAGCATGTTCTTGCTAGACAGTCTTATGTCTGCAACAGCTTCTGAAACTGTTGCCTGTCACTGGCAGATGTTACTAGAATGTCTGGTTAACTGTAGTAGATGCCTTATCCAGTCCTCCCTTGTTGGCATCTGATCAGCACCAGTGGCAAGGTGCCAGTGTTGTGAACAGGTAAGGTAAGTAGGATCAATTTGACTGTTACAGAATATTAAGCCATGCTAGCAGTCAGTCGTGTCAATCTGGGTTTCTGCACTTACTGTAACAAGGTCTGCAAACCCCAGATTATGAACGTCTGTGATAGTATCTTGATGAGTGCATATATGGGGTTTGTTTTAAACTCTAACCTTTTTTCTAAGCTGGAGAACAACACAATCTTAATGGATAAACTGAAGAAGGTTCAGCAAGAAAATGAAGAATTAAAAGCTCGGATGGACAAACATATGGAGCTTTCAAGGTGAAAAATATCTGTGGACTTTTAGATGTTCTTATGAACCTGGGGGAAGGTGTTCCTGTGACAAAGAAAATTCTGTGTAAATATCAGTGATGGGGATTTTGTAGTACTCTGTACAAGAACACATCCCTTTCTTCCCCACTTGCACCTCCACAAATGTGCATTCCACTGCAGAAGAACAAACAGGAACAGATTGTAAGGGGGTAAAGGCTCAGTATGTTCTTCTGTGCTCCAAAACAATATTTCAGGGAAGAAAAAGCAACTCAAATATCATCTTAGGATAGACTGGCTCTTTAAGTATTACTGGCTTGTGAGCTAAACCTGGTTTTACTTTTAACCACTTCAGTTGAGTCATTTGTCCCCAGCTTAGATCAGTGAAAAGACCAATGTGTTTTATTCAGTAATAGCAATATTTAACATGAATAAAAGGGGTCTGAGGTTCTCCTAACTTCAACTATTGTTTAAATGGATGGGCAAATTCTTCCAGTTGAAAGAAAACAGAAACTCAGCCTCTGTAGAGCTGAGCTTCCAGCAAGACCCAAAGGCTCCAGCATGGCCATTTAAAAGCATCTGTCACTAAGTAGGACAAGTCTCACTTTTCAGATGCTTTTTCTGGCCTTTAGGGATGTTTCTGACTGGGACTTTTGATTTCTGCAAGCTACTAGTTTAAATCCACCAAGGATGAGAACATGCTAAATCCTCCTTTTAGAAAGTGATTTAGTTGTAAGCCACGCAGGGTTTTATGCAATTTCAAACCTTTCTTTAACAATTAAGTACTATACTGTAGCCTCCAACTTTGGGTTATGTGTTCTGATGTAAACCTTATATTTGCAGGCAACTTTCTACAGAGCAAGCTGTTTTACAGGAGTCACTAGAGAAAGAATCAAAAGTAAACAAACGCCTGTCAATGGAAAATGAAGAACTTCTGTGGAAGTTGCACAATGGTGACCTATGCAGCCCAAGAAAACTGTCTCCCAGTTCTCCATCTGTGCCTCTTCAGTCCCCACGAAATTCTGGAAACTTCTCTAGTCCTACAGTATCACCAAGATGACATCTCTTGAGAGAAAGATGGGATTGCATTTCATTTATGAACTGCAGAACCAATCCTACCTTTAATCAGAGAAGCAAGAGCTATATTAGCCGAGGATGACAACTAAATGTAACTGGAAACTATTTGGTGCAAAAATGGTGATAAGAGACTGAGAATATGGGAGTAAGACATTGATGTTGTTCCTCCCAAAAAGACTTGTTTGTGACCTCTAATGGACATTGTTGCACAAAGCACTTACAGAGCAAGGAAAGACTTGTTCATTGCCTTTTCACCTAACTATAAGAAAAAGCTCAGGGGCTTAGGAGATAAAGATCACAACCTTTATAATATGTTCCTTATCACAGACACTTTTTTTAAGGCTGTGTGTATGCGTGTGTGTGCGTGTGCTGTGGATGGAATGGATGTAACACACTGTGCGTGTGTCTAATGCTGCCTTCTTTGCTGTGTACGTAATAAAGGATAAAAGCTGAAGACTATACATTGACATGTACTTCCTTAATAATGTTGTCAGTATGCATGCTTTTAGCAAAGGGTACCCTCACCTGGGAATGAGGAGAAACTGCCACTAGTACTGCAGGTTAGTTTCCTTCATCTTTCTGGCTTCAGTAAAAAAAAAAAAAAAAGGCATGAAAAGCTTTGTCAACTGACTCATTAGTGTCTTGGCTGACCTGAGTATGCAACTTTGAGTTAATTTTAAAAACAAACTGAATTGCAGCCATATTTTGCATGGATTCTTGGTTTAAAGTCCATGCAGGACTATGGGGACTATGAGGAGACATTATTTTGCAGGATTTTGGCTTCCAAGTCAACAGGGTCATAGTCAAAACCATGGTAGCCCTCAAGGTCAGAGGTTGTTAATTGAGTTGCAAGTTTAGAAACCTAGACCTATCATCTTACCTGCTGAAAAGGAATCACTTATTTCCCCAAAACAGCATGTACATTGCTGAGGCTATCTGCTGAGGATAAACTAGATGTAGATTTGAAAGCCAAAGAGAAAAATGCAATAATTGTTATTAGGTGCGTTCTTAACTCAGTTCTCAAGAAAAATCTTAAGTAATTTGTGAATTCCAATGTATCTGGTGACACACTTTTTGTCTTTTTAAGCATTAGCATTTGTATTAACATTCTTCAGGTTTGGCTAAATTCACCTGAGGAAGAGAGGGAAGGTGGTAGCTGTGTATTTATCTGGCTAACTCTGCCAGAACTTCTCTCTTAGACTGCAGGATATCGATCTTTTGCCAGTTCATTTGGCAAAAGATCCTGTATGTGAGATTCTGTAGAGCTGGGAAAAAAAATGGAACTGGAGGCTGAGGGTGTCAGCATTTCTGGAAACGTCATATGCTGAGCTTCAGCTTCAACAAGGTAATCATACATCCTTGCTTTAATCCACCCTTGGTCAGACCTCTTGAAGATGTCTACATTGTCCCTACTAAACACAGGTTCAACTTCAAATTAGTATTGCAAATCACACTTTATGCTTACAATAGCTTGGGTTTTGCAGTGCCACTTCCAGGACCATTGCTATACTGCTGTTTAGCTAATGCTCTTAGCTAGCTGTAGTGGTAACTGTTATGGCAAATTGCATCTTATCTGCCGAGTTTCCCTGTGTTTTTCAGTAGCCTGGGGACAGGAATCAAGGGGATGGACAGTGTTTAGGGAACTGACTGGAGAACCACTTCAAACCATTCTACCAAAGACTTGAAAAGTCTTGGCTAGTAATGAGGAACATAGACATATAAACAAGACTGTTAACAGTACTCATACAGTAAGTAAACTTGTAATAAACTTTTAATCATTAAATTTACTTAATTTTCCATAATGTACAAGTTTAAGGGTGCCATTTCTATGGAACATTATGCTCTCTTTTAATCCCCTTTAGGGCACTGTACATACCACTTGTTAGTGGTGTCAGTACTTAATGTTTTCTAGGGGTTTCAAATTTAACTATGAAAACCTTCTGCAGACTGAAACTTGCCTTAAAGTATATCTTGGAACATTCTTATCTTCTATGGTCAGAGAGATTTGATCACATGTATATGAGCTGAATGCTTAAAAAATAAATTTTTTTCATACTGATGGAAGGGCTTTTCTCCTGCTTGTATAAGTCAAATGATCTTTAATCTAAGGAGGAACATTCCTCCAAATACTAAAACCAGTACCTGCTCAGCACAGCAGAACAACAACAGTGAAGCTTCACTGCACAATTTACTAATGTTCAACTAACCCTTAGAAGATTTTAACTCTACCCTTGCTACTCTAATGTAGGCAGAAGTTACACAGAGCTTGCTTGTGATTATTAGTGATTCAGTCTGAGTTAGCTGTTTAAAAGAAAAAGATTGCTTAATTCTGTAATAATAAAATACTTGAGTACAGTTGGCTTAATGTAGGGACCCCATGTGCATATGCTTGGTAAAGGCATCCTACAGGACTCACCTTACTAAAATGCTCACCTTATTCAGGAAAATTTTTGTGTGAGGAAAAGCCACCTAGAGTTCAGCAATCTTAACAGGTCATGCCACAAGAACAGTTGTCTAGCCTCTGGATATTAGCTTAGCTGCAATGTTTAGTGCCTCAAATAAAACATGCAAGAAGAACGTGTAGAGATGTTTGAAGATACTACATAGTGTACCCCTTTGTGTAACAGAAAGGGAAAGATTTTTCCAGGCTACCAGTACAGAAAAGTAAGTATGGTATAGTAAATAATACAAAGATGGTTAATTTGTCAAGCCTTCCTCCACAATACAGGAGGCTCCCTCACCTCTAAACTTCTTGCAAGTGGACTCTTTAATGCAAAGAAATTAAGAACCCTTGTATATAGAAATCCTTGTATATAAAAATCAGACTACCGAAATACCTGTTTAGTGTTTGTCCTACTGGTCCCAAACTAAATAATTCATCTATAAGCACTCTTGCAATATTTTTCTCCAAGTATTACTATTTAAAGCTTTAACTTAAATAACATCTGTTAGCAAAGGCTTTGTTTGATCCAGTAACTTTCACGTGGTTTTTAGTACTTTCTTTAGCATAAAGTTTCCTTCAGGAAAAGCTAGAAACTTGCTCACCATAAATATATGCCAAAGGTCTAATCAAGCTATTCAAGCTAATCAAGCAATTAAACAAGTGATTTTCTTCAGATACTCAACCTTAACTAGTAGTTCCAACTCTAATGATAAGTTTCAAAGGAAGTTACAGTGACATTTATATCAGTACCATATAGTTTGTTGCCATTCAAACTATTCATAACATGGCTCACCTGCATATGGTTACACTATATTTGCTGTAAAATTTGAGATGAATCATTTCCTTATGCTAATAGAAGACTTTAAGTTTCTCATTACAAACACCCAAGACACTTTCATTTCAACTAGTAGCATCATGCAATTCATGCAGAAAATTCTTTCTTGACAGTAAGTAACCACTGATCTTCAGAACTGAAGTTGCCTGACAGCCAGGGTGCTGGAGTTAAAAAGGTTATCAGAATGTTGGAATAACTCTTGAACACTTAAAGAAATACCTTCTGTCCATTGCTGCTGCCTTGCCTTAGCACAGCACTGACTCAGGTATGGGAAGAGAAATAATAGTGGCAGGTTTAAGCATGTGACTTTGACAAGTCACTGAAATTCCATTTCCCAGGCATCATTCTCTTACCATGTGTCACTGTTCATTTTGTGGAAGCGTGCAACTGCATTGATGTAAAAAAAAAAAAAAATAAAAATCAAGCCTGCCCAGGAGGCTTTTGGTCAAGTAAGAGCTATTTAAAATATATAGTAAAATAATTCTCGTAGTTTGAGAATTATTTTGATGTTGGCAGGGGGAAAAAAAAAAAACCAAAAATTCTTCCTTAAAGGCATTGCTTCTGTAGTTGTAATCAATCTTGAGAACTGCATGTGATCAGTACACACAGCCATTAGACCTGAGGGAGACTACTTGAGCAATAACGCAGCAATGGATTTACATCGGCTTTTCTTCTGCCAAACTGTCAACCAAGGAAGGGATGCTACCACATGAACCACTGTGCTGTTGAACAAGTCTGAACAGGTGACAGGCACTATCTCCCACTTGTTAGATATTTTAAAGGAAATCAATTGTTGAATTAAAGGCTCAAAAGCACTTTGAAATTTAAGAAGTTGGTACAGATCCCATAGTTCAAAGGGAAATACAGTGTTCTGATAAATGAAAATGCTAAAAAGGAATGAACACATTGCACAGCCTCATCCAGCAACTCAGGGATTGCTAAAGTTACTTTGGTCAGACTGAAATCTTGCCTAAAAAAAATAAAAATGGTACAAAGACCTCTTTTAGTAATTACTATGAAATTGTGTAACACCTATTTAGTCATTTGGGTAACAGTGTAATATTCTTGATACTTTTTAATAGCAATGAGAAAAGGTTAAGAAGGGACTGCCTCTTACACCTTCAACATTGGTCCTATTGCTTGCTGTATTTGTTTTTGGCTTTGTAGCTACCTTGTTTCCAGAGGTTCTCCATGAAGCCTGTTTTATGGACATGCATAGAGCCATTTCAGTCTTACCATGGATAATTATCATACTGATTACACTGGTTTAGGTCTCTGCATGTTGAAGAAAAAACTGTCAGCAAGCTTGTTTAATGCTTTCATTAGCCACACTAATAATCAGGTTTAATGACATTATTGAGAAGCTGCCATTTTTAACCTAGTACTTCCTCGATATCACTACTCCAAACATCTGCTCAAAGGTTGAATTATCTGGAGCAAAGGGCTTAACTTCCAGCCTTCACCAGAAGAAAGCTTTAGGAATTCTAGTCAAATGTAGGCTGAGAGTTCCTAGTTTGGCTCCTTATGTGCTCAGCATATGCTGGTTTTCACATGTGAAAATAAAAGGGCTTGCATTAAGACTTTTTTGTTGTCACACAATTACACTCCTGAGTAGATTTGTTTTGAAGTTCTAGCATACATGGGTTCTGTGCTTGAGGCTAGGAAGAAAAAATACTGCCAAAATATCGAACACCACTGTTACCAAGGTCTTACCTTTTCTCTGAAAAGTCTCTTTCCTTGTACTGGTAACTAAACCCGGGGTTAGAAAGAGGCAGTTGCTTATTTATCCACATACAGTTCTGTGTAAATGAAACATCTTTTCTATTCCCCTAAGTAAATTAATACAATGGAGTTGAAATTGTTATTAACCTGAGAACAGAATCTGCTGTGTAATTGAACATTGTTCTAATGTTACATTTGGGTTTTCTTCTCCTGTAAATGATATATAAATAAATGTAAGTTTTACCTTTAGCAAACATAATTTGCTACATAATTTAGTAAACACGTCATACACCTGTTGAAGAATAAACTCTTAAGTTACATATTATAAGGTTGTAAGAATGCAACAACATAAAGAAAATCCAACATACCCAACCACTTAAAAGTCTCTGGAGATACCCCCTAGCACCTTAATATATATTTAGTATTAGTTTTTCGCAGGAGTGAGAATTTTATTTGTTTGTGTCTTTACACATCTATGAAATGAATACACACACACACACATATATAGGGACACACACATTACATTTGCATAATGTTCAGAAATTTATTCTTACAAAATAAACATTTGTTATGGGCTAATGCTGTAACAAGTGGGGGTGGGGGGCTGTTGTTGTTTTAAACATGTACAGTATTCTAAACTTTAAAATTGCACAGCACCAGAATGAATCCACCTGCTTGGTGGATTTTGAGGATACTTGATATCCTCTCCTTTCTCACATATGCAAAAAGGTCACAAACCATACAGTGGGTTAACCTTATGAAAGGGTTTGAGGAGAAAGACCAAGAGCATCTATTCCTAAATAGAGTAAGCCCTATGCATGTTCAGTCTTAAGCTTTAATGCTTCATAGTTTTATTAACTCACAGCTGACTACTGCTGGGCATAGGGGAACACTGTTTTGGGCTGTGAAGCTAGTGAAATATGGAATGCACTGACATATGAAGAGAGACAGTGATAGAGAAAACTTCGTTTAAACATTAATAAAGAAAATAGATGGCTATAATATCATATAACATACAGTTCATTCTACTTCCAGAGGCCTTTCCTATCAATTTAGTTCAACTGTAGTAGCTACTGTGGTTTCTCCTTGTAGGTTCTGAGCTATACAAATGTAGGTTCCAGCATCCCTGGCTTCAAAATCCTCAACAAGAAGAATGCTTTTTGAGATTCTTGTGGTATGTCCAGTTCCTCTGTTTATCAGTCTCCAGAAGTTTTGGATAATCACAGGTCTCTCAGACTGTTTAAAAGGAAAAACAACAAAACAACCCACCCATATAAGAAAACATGTAATTCTGCAAGTGTACTTGGTGACACTATCCTATCAACCCTAAACCAAGAGGTCACACAGTAGGAGCCTATATCCAAAAAATCAGCCTTAAGTGAGGAAACTGAAAATGTCTGGCAGTTGCAGCAACACCCCTGCATTAAATATTGACATACCAATAAGTTATGCCAAGTAAGGATAATACAGTGGCTCTTCCATTCCTGTGTATCTTTAGATTAGTGATGGGCTGCCAAAGCTCTGCCTGGAGTACATGAATGAACTCAGGCTACTTACTAACATTGCATTTGGGTACTTGATACCCATCTTGGGGGAGATGTCAAGACAGGTGTGTGAGCTTATTTTCAGACTTTCAGCAGGTCTCAAAAAAGAAGGGAGCAGTGGCATGAGTTAGTTGACCAAGCTTTACTTTGTGCTAAAATAGAACTGAGAATAGTTTTAAATTGTTTGTTGATAACTAATTCCTTCACCTCTAGTCGCAGAAACACTGTACCAGACAACATACAAGCAAACAGTACCGATTCCCTAATGCTTATAAATTAATCCTCACATTATGGTTTCCAAACTGTGTAACTTCAAAGCCAAAAATACAAACAGGGATGATTAGGAAGATGCACTTTTTTTTTTTTTTTTTCCTTTGAGAGAGTTCTCTGATGGACTGTTTATCAGGTAACACTCCCCGGCACCTCAGAAGTTTGCAAAGAACTGCATAAGAGAAACTAGGCCAAAAATTGACTAAGGCAGTCTCCTTCCTTCCAAAATCCATCATGCTAGTCAGCAGCTTTACTCATGTTGGCTTGTGCTGTACCAATAGCCATGATAAAACTGGTAAAAGAGAGAGAGGTTTCTTCTTGGAATCCATCTCTTCTTGCTTCATAAAATAGATGGATTAGCCATTTACTAATATGAATACTACAAGGCTTAATCTAATGGTAGCCAAAGGATAAGTTACACACTTGTCAAGAGCCAAAGCTACAATCTTGCACTTGCAAAGTGACCAGTACAGAGGAAGCTGCCAGCCTTGAAGCCTAGGGATGAGCCACAGTGCAGTCAGGGAATGCCCTAGGAAGTGGCAGGCATTTACAGCTAGCAAGTACTTTTTTGCAAAACTGGTAATCTCATCTAGAAATTCTTAACCTTTTAGAAGGAATCAAGCTACTTAGAAGAACTCTACCTAGCAGAGCATTACCTCCTCTTCCCAGACTGAAAATCAAGTGCTACCTACAATCAAGTATTACTGCACACTGAATTCAAGCCTAAATTAGTTCTTAAATATAGCAAGTGGAACTTCCCTGACCCTACTGAAAGTGAAGGTAAAGGCCCATGTAAGGCAGATGCTCTTTGCATGGTTGGGCTCCTGCTAACCCAGTTTTTCTCAAATTAATTGCCTCTTCTTTGAAGCTAGTCTTGGGGAACTACATTAAGGAGTAGATCAGTATGCATTCGCAGCAGGTGAATGAGCAAATGCAATTATCAGGGAGTGACAAGGAAAAAAAAAAAGGTGAAAAAAAAGTAAGAGGGAAAGGTTAGTGACTCCAGAGATGACATGAGGGTGTCTCCAATGCGATGTACCTAGGAGCAAGCAGGGATTCAAGTGATGCTTCTGCTCAGGGATCAAGTGGTAGGTGACAGCCCAGGTTCTGGGTAAGGTGGTGGTGGTGAACAAAAAACATCACTGATCTCCCTCCACTGAAAGCAGCAGCAATGAATGGAAACATCCAATGAATCTTAGAACTCTGTCAGTCCTTCTTCTTGCACGAAAGAAGGTGTAGCTGACCAGCATCACTAATGGTTCTCTCTCTTCTCTCTCCACCCCCACTTTTTCCTTTTGCAGTATGTGAATACTTCCCTAATAAACATTAAGTCTCCAACAAGCATACAGTGCTTCTACTCTGACATCTACTTAATCATTTTGTTGGGGCAGAAACCCAAACACACCTCTTTCCTTCCCATCCCCAGGCACAGCTGGAGCTGAGACTGTTTACTGCAGTGGATAAGCACATCAGCCCTTCCCAGGGCAGATGCAGGCCACAGACTCTCTCAGCCCTCCTGTGGGTGCACTAAGAGGGTATAGTCGTCTGCTGATAGTGTATGGGTTCTGCACTGCAGATGCAGCATCCACAGCAAACAAGGGAGAAAATATGTGTGTGTTTAGCTGTTTATAGTCAGTCAGTGCTAGAGTAGCTGCAGTGCATGTGCTGGTGCTGCAACAGGTGCCGTAAGACCACTGGAAGAAACTCGGGCCAAGAAGAGTCAGCAACAAGGCTTGGGCAGCTGTTCAGCTGTGAAAGATGTAGCCCTAATAAGATACAGAATTTTGGAAGGCCAGGCTGAGTCTAGAATTTAATTTCTTCAATTGTTTGTATTCAGCAATAACCATGAGTTACAAAAGAATTAAAATAGGGGTTTGTATAGCCAGTTACTACAGTCCAATAAACAGATTTTAAGAGAAGCTACCAAAAAAACAGAAAAACTTCTCAAAGTTAACGTGATCAGTGGGAGACAGGCACTTCTCTTCCCCACCCGAGAGAGTGGATTGTTATGAAGACTGTCAAAGTCCCCCCTTGAAGGACACACACGGCCATTTCTTGACTCAGCTCAGCTGAGAGCTAAATTCAGACAAAGACATTGGGCACAAAACCCACTATTGCTCAGTAGCTCTCCAAACCTGGAGGCACTTCAGTTTTCCCTAGCATTTGACTTTCTTACTCCACCAACAGCTGCAAGTTTCCCCACTCATTTAGATATCTGCCCCTTTCCTTCCTAACTTCAAATGGACTCCAGAAACAGGAATTCTTCTGCCAAAGTCTTCCAGTGCTTCGTTCACCTGCAGATCACCTGATCACGCTATCAATACCAAGGCCCCTCACCAAATGTGGTTGAGGCTGCCCTCATTTAACAACCAGAACAGGACAAGGAGGAGAAGTTGGTAATTGCTTATGAACCCTCAGACTCCCAACAGTCTCAGCAGGAAAACTTATGACAAGCAGCAGGAAAAACAAAAACAACCCTGAGGTAGAGTGGAGCGGGGGAAGTGAAAGGACAAACTAATGTCTAAGAAAGGACTACAAACCTGGTTCTAAGTGCCCAGTGCCCTCACCAGCTGTTCAAACCCTTTTTGTGCTGACTTGCTCTCTCACTGTTTTTCTCCCCTGAAAATGCACACACCTTCCACAACAGCGGAGTGCTAGTCTCTATCTTCATGGCTACAGCAAACCTCCAGGGCTAAATCTTCAATCAAAAGATTTGAATTTTTTCAAGCCCAGTAAACACCGAACTCCAATCACTCATTCAAACAATTATCTTTGCCATTAAATTACTTAATTTTATGCCGGCTCAGGGAGACTAGTGCTGCTACAAGTACCTCATTAGCAAACTGCATCAGCCTTTGACAACCCAGCACCAGGAGGGCTGGCAAATGGAATACAAACAAACCCTCAGTTCCTAGAGGACCCCTTTCCTCTGGTGAAGGGTTCCATCTTCCAACAGTCCTTCCTTTGCTTCTAGCCTGCTTTGGATAAACAGCAGCAGAGATGATGCTGGGCAGAAGTAGATCTCTGTGCCTCTGGATGAGAGCAAAAATTCAGCTCAGAGATTCTTTGCTGTGATGATTCATGCACCTAAGCCATGGAGATGGAAGGGATATCAAATGCAGAGGCATCAGTGAGGCTTTGTGGCTTGCCCTAGAATGGCTTCCTGACGCTGGCTGGCTTTGACCCTGTCTGAGGCTTTTCTTTGTAAATGCTGCCAGAGGCCAAGTGTCTCTGGAATGGAAACCTGAGGGAGGAGTGAGCTCTGCTGAGCTTGATTTTTGCTAGATGGGTGTAGAGCTCTCCAGCCTCATTCCTGTGCTACTCCTAGGCTCTCACAGAAAGATGGGCTGAAGTTCAAAAGGGATGTGCTGCCTCCTCCTGCCAGCACACGTGAGCTAGCAAGAGGCAGACACCACAATCTAAAAAATCTTTACTCCAAAATCTAGACACTAACAGGCATTCAAAGCACTGCCTTTATGAAGAACAGACCATTTCAGACAGGCATGCATCTCTTACCTCTTGCCCTGGGTACTGCCACCTGAAGTTCACATCAACATCTGGCTCCCCAAGGGCTGTGCAGATTACATGAACTCTGTCACTGACTTCTCTGTTGGATGATGCTGCAATTGTAGCTGAAGGGGGACCCTTGGGAACTGACAGAAATACAGTGTTTGGAAGCAAAAAATTAGTTTCTGAAGTTAAATACACTGATAAAACACTGAGTCCATTTTTATCTCAGTTTGCTTAAGACAATATGTAAGTGATGTACATCTGCAGCTTTCCCCTCTGCACTGGGAAATTGCTGGAATTTAAATCTAAAAAGTTTTATTACATATAGTTTTGATCAAGATTTTAAAACTCGGTGATCATATTACTTAAGTTACAAATCATTTTCTAAAAAACATGTCTTCTATACTTCATTCTTCTGCTGACATTGTGTCAGTGTAAGGACAGAGAAAACTACACCCTACCTTCCACATACAGTAGGTGGTACTTTATGGAAATCTGAGGTGCTCCATGTGACTCTGCTTTGCAGTAGACAATACCCTTATGATCAGAAGTAGGGTGCTGGTAGACAAAACCTTTCTTCACATCATAAATAATATCAGTTCCATCTGTTTCAATTTCTTCTGCTGGGAATTCCCTGTGTAGAGTTACTTTTGCTGAAGGAGTAGTAACACGGCATGGAATGACTGCAGGTTTATCTGGGTTCAGGTACACAATCTCAAAATAACTGGGAGTAGGTACAAAAAGTTCCTCTTTATCTGTGCAAGAGAGTTGATTTGCTATAGTTAGAATAATATTTACATCTTGGCTTAACAGAAAGAACAGAAAGTACATATGACAAGAGAAAATAGCTATGAGCAACATTAAAAATTAACCCAAAGCTTTTTACTTTAAAGAAGTACACACAAAAGAAAAAACCCATCTGATCTGTTAGTATATACTGACATAGCTTGCATTAAAAACACTGAATCAAAAAGAAAAACAAAGTACTCTTCACTGTAATCAGATTTTTTTTTTTAAATCTTAACAAAATCTTTGGAATTCCTTTTTAGTAAGTTTCCAAATACTCATCTGGATCTAATTCTGTTCACTCGCCCACTTTTAAAGGTAACACACATAAAAATACCCAACACCACTGGTAAGATAAGCACTACTAGAAATAGATATTCTTTGGACCTACAGCCTTTTTATACATACAATTTTAGGCAAAATGTTTGATGTACTGCCATAAGTAGCTGAAATATTTAGTGCTTTTAGAATGACAGTTAAAGACTATTTCCATATCTGGCATGATGCTTAGAAATATAAAGCTGAAATTCTTTCTAGCACAAGCATTTACGTAACTTCACTGAAAAGTTTATTCCACCCTTTCTAAAGGAATGTATCCTCAGAACATCAAGCACTTCTGATAAATGGCTTCTGCACACTGCCATGGTCTAATTTAGCTCCAAAACATAATCACCAACAATCCCTCCCTAGCATTTTGTAGCAAAACATTTTCTAGCCAAGAATGCCTTAGCTCTGATCAGGCAGTGAAGGTTGTTTTACCATTCAGAATGTTTTCCACGAGAAGAACAAATTAACCATTTGATTTCAGCTGTGTTGTACCAAGTAGCAGTAAACTCTGCACGGTTACCGTATCCATGCAGTGTTAGGGCTACAGTCAGCCTCAAGCTCTGTGGAACAACACATGTATTTAGGAGCGTTTTGCCATGAAACATGCTATCTATACACACTCTTGGGAGAAACTGTGGCCTTACAAAGGTCAGTGAGGTCAAGGTTTTTACGTTAGTGCAGGAGTCCATACGGTCATCTGAATGCCATAACAAAATGAATCTTCTGCATAGATTTATTTTCTTCACCAAGACACATTTTCAAAAATTAAATGTTTTTTAAATTAATTTTTTAGAATATCCTCAGAATCCATGTTAGTATTTTCAAAGGTATTTGCTTTTCACTGTGTTATGCATTATTTTGGGTACACATTTAGCATAATCCATAGGGGAAATGGACTCATAAACCACACTAAGCAAGTAATTTTCTGCTCACCAGCACTGTCTTCCTTAACTTCTATTAAAAAAAAGGTGGAAGGAAAATCTTAACAGTGAAATTGCTGATGTAGCTTTACTCCTATCTTACTAGTAAATTTATTTCCATTAATAATCCCCCAGTCAGTTAATTACCTGTGAAAAAGATGTATGTTGAACCTGTTTTAGTCTCATCCTTCCTGCATTTGTTACCATTGCACAGCTGAAGCCAGCAGCTATATTCACCTGTGTCAGCTGCAGTGGAGTTTGCGAGGATCAGCTGACCATACTTGTCCAGCTGCTTTATACTGGGGAGAAGAAAAACAAAAGGCACAGACAAACACAGGTTTCTGTTAGCTCACTTCTATTTCTGATTTTTTTATTCCTACTCTGCAACTGACCCACCTTTCACTTTCAGAGATGTGTAGCAACTTCCCCTTTTACTCCAGCAAAGGCCTGCTTACATTAGTAGTTTTAGTGATTTCAACTACACACAAGCACTTGCCAAGCTTTTGTCTTGGACAGTTCATTCGTGGATTCCTTTCAGTCCCCATTTTGAAACTGAACTGGGACTCCTGTAGACAGTAATTAAGAGTCGGGTTGACATAGCGCCTAGGCATATGGTGTAGCTGGGAACTGTCAGTGTTAGGTCAATGGTTGGACTGGATGATCTTCAAGGTCTTTTCCAACCTAGATGATTCTGTGATTCTGTATGTTCATCTATGTTTTGTCTCAGTTTGTTTATGTATATCCCAGTATTTTCATGCTCCAAATCAACCTGCATGCACCTCAGTCCTTTTATGATACCATTTACTTCAGCTGTAGCACTACTTCAATAGTATGTTATAAATACTTCAGGAGTAGTAAATAGCAGCTACTTGAAGAAGAGTTTATTTGCTGATTTATGCCTGCTTTCAGTGTGAGTGCTTTCCCATCTTTAACACACCAGTCCTGGTTTCCACTTGCAAACACCATCATAAAGAGCTTCTATCTCAAATTGGATTTGTTCTAAAAGTCTAAAAGTTTTCATTGCCTACTCCTCTGCCCTAAGCGACCTCACTGGCATCCTCTCACTGGATTTTCCTCATCACCCCTTGGCTATTTCAGAGCACAACCCTGAGAACTGCTGGAGGTGTACTGGCAGTGTAATCACATAACTACATAAAACTCAGCCTGTGTGATTATTTCAGAGACTTAATTTGCTTTTTGCTCCTTCTCCAGGATTTCCCACATACATCTCTTAATGGACCAAAATTTGTAAATCTGCAAATATTTGTAAGTGTGTAGATACTGACAGTGTTTCTAAGGGTCAAAGGTCCTATCTCTGAAATTCAGAAGCCACAATCTCATCTTGCTCTTTTTTATCTTAAAGCTTGCTTTCCTGGCTCTTTCTTGCAGACAGCTGGTGTTACAGTTAGCAGCACTGGCTGTGTTGCCTTTGGATGGATTGCAAAAGCAATGATCCAACAGTACCAGTCCTTGGGGAACCCTGTCAGGACAGCCGTGTGTGGCAGTACTGATGCACCCACCCCACGGCTGCTCTGACTCTTAAAAACGTTGTTTTCAACCACCTGCCTTTACACGGTAGCACAGCCAGGACACAAAGGTTTCTTTCCTGCTTTGCTTTGCAAGACATCAAGTTACAGGGTCATTTCCATTGTACCCAAGTCAGGAGAGTTTTTTCCAGTTTTAGACATTTGATAGCCAACTCCTTTTCAGTGTTTCAAATGGGGTCTGGACAAATATGCAGTGTGCATGACGTCTGAATGGCTCCCATGCTCTTATTCAACTGTGGGTTCTCTGAGTATTTATTATCCTTGTATTTCTTCTTCTTAATGTGGCAGTCATTCTGTAAGGCAGATGCCTGACCGAATAATGTATTTCTGGGATTAGCATGCTTTGAAGAACTTCTTATCCTCTAAAACACCTTGTCACTGTGTAACACTGGTACCACAGACATGCCCCACTGCACTGCATGCTCTAAATGCTCTGTTTTGCTCATGTCTCCATTGCAGGCAGCCCCCCCCTAACTGCTCAAACAGAGAGGCCACTGCTTTCAGCTACATTCACTTCCCCAAACTCCTGACTCCCTAGATGTTCCTGTAGCAGTTTGCACTACTACCAGTAATCATGAGCAACGGTTCACGTAACCCAACATTCAGCCTCCAGCCAAGGCCAGTAGCTGAGGAATTAAAACCACACCAAATACACAACCCAGACAGGGCTAACTGAGAATTACCTTCACCATTAAAGCCCTCAGACACCACCAGTACATTCATCCACCACTGGGCAGTTTTGAGGCCTAAGGAGACAGGCAAATTGTTTCCTGCCTGCTAAATGTGCTTGTCCTACACAACTTTATCTGATTCCACTTTTTGGAATTATGTAATTATGGAGTAGTAGCTTTTTCATTTTTAATATATACACTAGCTTACATTATAAATTATCTTCAGTTTTTTGTATGACCTTTGAGAGATACCTATTTGTGCAAGAGATCTTGTTGTGTATCATACCCAACAGGAAGAGAAATCCAAAACATGTCCTAGTCTCTATTATTATTATTGCTTAGTTTCACAGTTCACATTTCATAGGCTACATGACTACATCAGCATAAAATGTTTTGCAAGTATCCAGTACTAAATGTCAGCATTACAGAGAAACCATTATGCCAGAAAATTTTTGTCTCCAACTGTTAATGGAGACACTGAACTATAGCTCAAAATCCCAACAGAGAGAAAAATAAGGTCAGACTTAATTAATTATTGTACAGTGTGTTCTACTTAACTGAGAACAAGCTATCCGATAATCAATGGAAATAGTCTAACGAGGTAGTCACCCACAAACATGCACTAACAGAACCTGGCAACCACCAGTGGAAGTAGTGAAACTTGTGACATAACCATATTAAGCAGACAAAACAGGCCATATAAAGTAAATTAGAAATGGTAAATCCTGCAACTGACCAGTATTTCCAGGATACCTTTTATTTCATTAGTATTCTGGGTGCTGGGAAATCTGACTTAAAATCCAAAACTTTGCTGTGCTCTACATATCACTAAGTAAAAATGTTGTATATACAAACATTTCAAGACTGTTTAAGGAAACTAGAAAACTACTCCAAAATCTTATTCCATACATTCATCTTATGAAGTTTTAGTTCTTTTAAGTTGAAAAGATCTTTGACAGATAAGCCATGTCAAGTTTAGAAGCTAAAAATAAAAAGATATAAAAAGACAAAAAGATAGTGGCCATAGCATCACTCAAAGAGCATCTACCAAACTCCTCTCAAGCAGCTGCATTCATATTGACAAAAGAGAGCTTATCTCAAATACAAGCTCACTAGGAGAGGAACATAACATCTTAGTGTTTAACACAAGAAAAAAATCCCTAGCTTTCAGACTTCACAGCACATGGAACAAAATGAAATTCAGTCATACACACATGAGCACAACCAATGAACCACTGAGCCAGCCGGAGCCTGCATTCACTGAAAGCAGTCTAATTTTGCCCTCTACAACGTAAGTCTCCTCAATACTTGTGAGAGTGCTCCTGGCCATACACCCCCCACACACACACAAATGTGCATGTGATGTATGTCCAGCTCTTTGCCCCAGCTTCTTCCACTGGAGCAGTTCCATTTCACACGAGTTTATTTATCAGATGAAGTTCTGTGATAAATACAGCTGGTCTTTGGCAAGTGAAAGACCCATACTCCAAATCAGGCAGAGCAGAGACTATGCAAAGTCAGACTGCCTTCATCTAGAGCAGCTTTCTGCTATAAAGCATAACAAAGAGAAAATGTGCTTGCGCTTATTTTCCTTTCATCCCTTTCAGTTTTTATCCTTCTCATACACTGCAGATCCAGTTTCTGGGTGAGCCTACAGTCATTAATTTGTTATGCACAGTCTTACAAAACAGCATTCCAGCCCTGCTGCTCTGGAGGTGCACGAGCTACCTTTGACCATTTACACCACCATGACTTTTGGGCAGTTCAGTCAGTAAATAAAATTTTCAGACAAAAATTTATCTGCAGGGTGTATTTACACTGCACAAGGCAAGAGAGTAGTACACATAATAAGCTAGTCTTGAAGCGAGCTGGCATGTGTCCTTAAATTGGGAGCCAAGTTTGCTTGATTCTAGCTTTCTCCCCAGAGTTGCATTGCATGCTACAGTCTCTAAAGCTAAGTAAACCATTTCAGTGTGTACTGCTACTTACTCCAGTTAGTATAGTGGAAAGATAATTTCTCCTCTGGCTCAACAAGAAACAGCCAAAGAGCTATCCTTCTTCTTTCACTCAGCATCTTTCCCTGCCCCCATATGATATTTTTAGGTCTGTAGCTGTTAATGTTTGCTATTAAAAACTGAGACTCTCTAGTATATCCAACAAAAATATTTAATTTACCAGGTCATGAAGTATACCTACAAAGACAAACTCAAAGAACGCATAGCCACTAATGCTATTGAAATGAGATTATAATTAGAAATCTCTTCCTTAGAAAAATTGTATTGTCCTCCAGGCTGCTGTATTCTCCTTACCATATGGGCAAATTAAAAACATGATAAGCATGGCATGGAGACAAAACATCTGGCTTTTATCCCTCCTTTTTGCAACCACCCATAGGAAATACATTATGTGGATGCTAAATTTAACTAGGTGCAAACCAAAACACCCTTTTCTCCCAGAACTACAGATAGGAAACAGAACAGAGTGGGCATCTTCAGTGTCAGCCCTGGAGTTCTGCTGTTAACAAACCCTCCAACCAGCTGAGCTACAAATGCCCTCACACCACCCTGAACCTTAAGGTCTCTTCTGCCTCCCATAATTGCAATTATGTTAGATGCCAGGGTCCTTAAAGCCTCCTCTTGTAAGCAGTTAAGAGTTACAGGATGTTAGCATTTTCCAGGAGATGTAAAACACCTTGCTTATTGTTAAAATTCCCATTAGACCACCTGAGTTTGCACATCCCTCCCATTACTTAAAGAAAAACCAGGAATTGAGCATCTGTTGCTGTAGGAACGTACAAATGAACAAAAGAATGGTAGTTATTAGTCCCTGGCAATTGCATGGACCTCATCATCGTTGCCCCATCCCACTTACCCACTTGTAACCCACTCCTTCACTTCCCATTACCTCCTCAGACCCCAACCACCTCCCCCCGATGCTGCTGACAACTCTGGTTTGCACCAGTGTCCCAACTCCAGAATGGAAATCCAAGGTAAAAAAGCCCAGCCCAGTTAATTAGCTGGGGTTTCACTCCACGCCTCAGTAAGTGGTAATTACAGGATTACCTTATACTTGGTCTTTAAGCACTCGAAAAATGTTAGAAGATACTGGACATATATCTAGCTAGATGATTAGACAATTTTTGCTGTAGGTTATTTGCTAATAATTATTCTGATTTTCCCCTGTTTGCCCTATATTCAGCAAATTGTTTTAAAATAATGAGTGCAATATGTTAATAAAATTTTAAAATTTGTCTACTGTAGTTGGTGCTTGGTGCACGGTCTTTTGTCTGCCACAAGGAAGATCTAAGCTCCTCCTGAGAGATGATAAGCATTTTCTGCTGTCAGTTCACTTACAAACACTACCAACTGAGCTAACTAAATAACATGCTATCTTTATGCTATTTCCAGTTAAATTCAATCAAAGTTTCCTAAAACTATGGAATATAGATTTCATATTTCACATTCTATAAAGCAGACTTGGTTTCATATGCATCTATTAGCAATAAAGAAAAAATCTTGAGATAATTACCAAAATGCTAAAAATGTGATGAAAGTATAACTGTACAACATTTCGTGGTCAATGTTTCCATAAATTATTACTATTCTGTGACTTTGAAGCACGCTACTAATCTATGTTTTCAATTTCTCAAGTTAATTATAGGGACTTCTGCTTACATTTAAAATTGTCTAATTTAAATTTACATTTAAATTTGCATTTAAAACAGTCTAACTCAGCCTGTTTCAATAACTTATTTCAAAATAACTTTTCTAAAGCAAAGATCATTGTATTTCAACACAGATCCTTAAATATAGGCCTAACATACTTCTAAAAGAAAATAACTAGTTAGGCAAGTTACAGCCACCCAGTCAAAATGTTATATAGCATTATTTTGTGTGACATTATTAACTTTTGTTATATAGTTAAAATATTACAAATATTGTGAACTTGAGTGAGAACAGAAAGGTAAATTCTTGAGGCAACAGAATCCCAAACTACTTCAAACTACAAAAAATGCCAAACTACACAATTGGGAAATGCCTATCTTTTTTCTCCCCAAGCTACCTTAAATTCTTGTATACTTGTATTTGTCCCATGTGCATCACTACAAAATTACTTAATTTTGCAAAAAAGGAACAGACAGTCAAACAAATCATGAAGGAGCATTCAGATTCCTCTCCAAAAACTGTAAATACTTGCCTTGCCTTCTTCAATGCCAGATGCTAATACTCAGAAAACATGACCTGGAGGTCTACAGGACCAAATCATGCCAGCAACCTATTTGCAAATGCACAGAACATTAACATACACTTGGAAACAACAACCACCACCACACACATGCTCCTTGTTGATATTTTGCACATTCAGCTTTGGCTTGCCGGTAGGCCAGGTCTGTATTGCAGCTCATAAACGCCACCTACTGGAATAAATCCAGATAAAACATTATTTCTTGCAAAAGAAAAAAGCAATAGTTGTTTAAATCGACCACAAGATCTTTTGAGAGATGTTGCTGCGATAAATCCTCAGCAGAAACAGACTTGCTGCTGTAACTTACTATGACAGAAGCCTTGCACTAGCTACAAAGGTTTATTCAGCCAGTGTAGTTCTTGAATTCCTTAGACATCAGGGGACAAGCAAATAAACACTCAAAGAAGAACTGGCTCACAAATTTCCGAAGGATATGCTAGAAATCACAGTCTGTAACTGCCAATTTTCAACGCTCCTCTCTGAAAAGAGAAGTGGAAAGAATAATATATCTGAAAAATTAATTAACTGGGTGTGATTTTAAGGTAGCATCATATCTGTAAATAAGTGAAATGGTTCATGAAGATTCAGATAACCTCAGTTATTTACAGAGGGCATACACACTTGTAGGTAATTTAGGAACAAAAGGACAATAGGAGCTGACACCTTTGCTCATACCTCTGTGCCTCTCTTACCTAATAATCAAGACAAGCTCTCTTTCCTAGGACACTGTTCAATGCTCCACAGTCTCCTCACTCCTTGTCTCACAGATACATAAACCTCCATAAAACAGTCAGTGAAAACAAACACTACTCATGGCAAAAAGATGCCTGTGGAAGACATCCTTAAGCTCCTTATATGTGCCTCCTCTTTCAAATACAGACCTAAATTACTACATTTAATCTACATTTGGCTATGTATCCTCAAAAACTGGGAAGGCAAACAAATACAATTTTGGAGATATTTAGAGCAACAAGACACTCACCTGAAGGGTGGGAGAGAAAGGGAGAAAGTCCTCAGTCCCTCTTCCTGTTCTACCAACTATTTATGCAGTTTCCATTAAAATGTCACTACATGAAAGAAAAAGCCTTCCTAAACCCAAGCTGACTATCCTCAGCATTAAACTGCCACACCACAAACACTGCAGTTCCCTTTTGCACACAGAGGTTAACAATGACTGAAAAAGACTACTCTTATTTGCCCTTTAGCATGGTAGTTGGTGTATTTTTTTGTTAGTTCAGTGATGGGGTTCTAGCCTCTTCAGAAAATTAATCTTAGTGTCTCAGGTAGTAGCTACATTAGCAAGCAGTACAGCCCACCAGGAGCAGGTCTCTCTAGAGTTGGTAGTGAGTACCTGATATCCAGACTCACACGTTTTGAGTTTTACTTTGGACTAGCTCTAATGTGGTTCCCTGTTAGTGGCTGGAGCACACTGGTATCCTGCTGGACCACATGTTCTATTTTAGATTCATCTTAAGGAAATCCAGTTCACGTGTTACAAGACTATTCCACAGTGCAAATCACAGGGCAGTAACTGGTGCTGACTGAAAGATGTTCATCCATTTTGTTGACATTAGAAACTACTAGGTGGAACAGCTTGACTGTAAAAATGTAAACAAACAAAAAGCCCAATGGTGTTGAAAGTGGTAGAAAAAACAAGTTCTGGATTTTTTTTTCCCCCAAAAAAAGTGAAAAATAGCTTACCTGAGTCTGGAGTCTTTAAAGGTGTCCAAGTATGAGGGATAGTTCCAAGTAACATTATTCCCCTTACATCGAAGTTCTAGGTTTTGTCCCGCAGAGAGGCTTAAAGTGGCAGCTAGTTTCTGGAAACGACCTTTATCCATCACCTGTGTCAGTATGGACTGGGACTTCAAAGAGGAGTCAGCAGATTCTCTCTCCTTCATTTTGGGGGTCTTGGGTTTTACTTTTTTGTTAACAGGCTTAATTTTGTTTTCCCCAGGTTCTTTTGGACGCTTACCCTTCGAAGGCTGTCCAATAACTAGTAAAATAAAAGGCGGCAATGTTACTGATAAGAAAAAGGTTATATAGTCCCTTTACAAAAAAAATCCCCTGCCTTATTATCACAGAGAATAAAGTTTTGTTCTTCCTGTAAGGCATTCATAAAAATGAATAAGGGTTCATTTCCATAAGTTTTTCAAGTCTCTGGCATAACCCATTTTCCTGGCAAAAAAGGAAGAGAGCTTTCAACAACATGTGGAAAATCTATACTTACAGTTCACGTAAACAGACAAGTATGTAAGGTATGAGTACTTTACAAATGGGAAGGGAAAGAAATACAGCATTTCTATCTCCAGTTACTTTTGTCATTTCTACCTCATGTCATTGTCATTTAGTACACAATGCTACACAAGTTCTCCATCCTGGTAGGGATGTCACACACACATCAATTCTGCTTAACCTTTTCACACATCTTGTTACCATAAGGGACCCATGAAGAAAAACTGGCAAGTGTGGAACTTCATAAAGATTTATAAAATAGTGATGCAGTTTTCTTCTTTTACAGTAAGTACTATGAAAATGCAAATGGCACTTAAGTCACTTGAAGGTAGTATTTAATTCATCACTTCTCTATAACAGCCATTCATTTTGACAGTCCAGATGAAAACAGAACTTTATTTAGAGGCAAACAGCAAGGTTTCATTAGTTGCTAGAGACAACAGGGATACCCAGATGCCTTTAAAAGCAAAGCAAATGGAAGGGGGAAAGTGAGGTGTCTCAAATCTAAAAAAAAAAAAAAAAAAAAAAAAAAAAAAAAAAATCAAGATATTTTTGCTTTAACTGACAGCAGGAAGCACAGATCTTTTGTGAGATGAGCCTAAAACTGCTGTCCTCAGACATCAAAAACTCCGCTACTGTGCCTGATAACTAATTCACATTGAACACAGCTTTTACACATGAAAATACTTGGGTATCAATAAGTTCCCTCTGGAATTAAAAATAGCCTTGCTGTATACTGAGTTAACGTGAAATAAAACTGGTACTGGCTGCAGTATGAAGAGCAGTACTTTCAGACTCCTGCCACTGATGGCTCCCATGACATTCCTCATACCCCAGCTGGACACCTTGCACTGCTTCAGCCTTCCACTTCTCTAAGTCCAGCCTAATGTACACCACAAGTCTTTCAAATGGCACAGAGCCTTGTGAGCACAAATTTAAAACCCAGAAAATTCCATTGGAACACAAGAAAACATTTTTTTATTGTGATACTGGTCAAGCACTGGCACAGATTGCCCAGAGAGGTTGTGGAGTATCCATCCATGGAGATATTCAACACCCAACTGGACACAGTGCTAGGCAGCCTGCTCTAGGCGACCCTGTTTGACCATGGGATTGGACTGGCTAATCCCAAGAGGTCTCTTTCAACCTCAGCCATTCTGTGACTATGTGATCTCAGCATGCAGAGTAAGGCTGCCTGTGTAGGAGCATTTGCTTTCTGGTCTCACACCAACTAGAAAATAAACTGGAAAACAGCAATGCTGTCATCATCTTAAGTTTGCCAAATGCACTTTGAACTCTTTTGGACTCTTATGTAATAAGAATAATTCTTCTGAGAGGCACACATCCAGTTATTAAGGTATACCCCTCCCCTGCCAAACAAATATTTTTCCCCAGTTCTACATTACGAGCATTGGTGAAGTTGATTGTAAAGATGCCTCACCAACTTACAATGAGACAAAATTGAAGTGATCAAACAGAAATGCCTTCCAAAGATCATGACATAAAGAGTAACATTTTATTCTGGAAGGGAGAGTGAAACAAATACTTATGCTTTTTCTAATTTTTCTTCACACCTGTGATGCCACTGGCCATGCAAAATTGGCAAACTTGACAGAATTATGATAACAAAGGAGAATTTCAGAGAAGTGGTTGCTGCCTCCTATGGAAGACCATGAAGTAGGGTTTTTCTAGTTATTCAGGGCACATTACCCTAGTGAGTGACACAGCGCATGTATTACAGTTCATGTAGGAGCACTTTTTCCCTGCATTACCTTAGAAAGGCTACAGTGGGTTAGGCCAAATGTCTACCTAGCCAACACCTTCAGACTGACACCACCTGTCAGCTGTCAACCAGGGAATAGGACAACCATCTCTGCTCCTTTGATACTATTCTCCTAGCTTCCGAGAACCTTTAGCTCAAGGGATCTGTGAACCACAGTTGCCACTGGTTTTGTCCTTGGTGGATTCTTCATTAATTTGTCTGGTCAAGTTTCAAAACTACACAAGTTATACATAAATATTAGATGCCTCCTAGTTTTTGTATTAAGTGAATAATCCATTGTTTCTCCAACAACATTCTCTGCAGCACTGGTACTTTTACAGAACTTAAGTGTCCTTCAAACATCGCCTTTCTGGACTGACAAGTCTTGCTCTATTTAATTGCTCCTTGTAAAGAACATGCATCTTACAACAGTTCAGTTACATCACATTTGGGTAATGAAAGAGGACAAAAGCAGACTGTACACCAGGTTCAAGATGTGGTCAAATCACAGTTGTACATATTAGTGGTGTCTTCTTTCCTGTCTAAATAGCTCATTACTTTTCAAGAAAGCAATATTAAGAGTTGATTTTCTCTAGAATAATCAAATGTAACTCCCAAGATCACTTTCCTAAGTAGGAGTTATTAGCCAGAAATCCCTAAGCAGAAACCCATCAATGTGTATATGAATGTGTTAATTTGCATCTACCAACCTAAAATTTCAAGTCCTATTTTCACTGCTCAGTGTTTCAAAATGGAGAAATTCTTCTGCAACTCTTTATTGACAGTCTTGTTTTCTTTTAGCAGATTTATAAATATAGTGAAAAGCATGTACCTTACAAGATCCCTGTGAAATCCAACTGGGTAAAAACAATTCTATGCCCATATCGCAAAAACTGAGGATTAACAATTTGTTTTCTATTAGTTATTACTCCACAAGAGATCTTCCATTGTCTCACAGTACTCCGGTTCCCATGAAGTCTTTAACAGGCTTATCAAAAGCCTTTGGGAATATAACCAACTCATCTATTCCCACACCCTTATAAAGTCCTTCAGAGAACTTAGCAGATCTGCAAAACAAAACACACTTCTGAAGTGAGGGGGGGAAAAAAAGCAGCCATACAAACCCATACCGATTCTTCTGTAATTCATTCCTACCTAATGGCGAGTTCAATTTACAGAATAGAGATCTGGCTTTGTGCCTATACCTCCCACAAAAATCTTAAAATGTCAGCATATTTCCATTTCCCTGGGCAGGAGTGGTTATATGATAGGTTACACACCTGAGCTAAGGCTTCAGCAATTTCAGATTCAAATTTCTATTTAGTCTCAGGTGTATATCATCAAATCATGGCACTTAAACACCACAGAGAAGGACTTGGGGGTGTTAGTGGATGGAAAACTGACTATGAGCCAGCAGTGTGCACTCGCAGCCCAGAAAGTCAACTGTATCCTGGGCTACAGCAAGAGAAGTGTGGCCAGCAGGTCCAGGAAGGTGATTCTCTCCCTCTACTCTGCTATCCTGACACCCCACCTGCAGCACTGTGTTTAGCTCTGGGGCCCCCAAAATAAGAAGGACATGGACCTGCTTGAGTGGGTCCAGAGGAGGCCACAAAGATGATCAGGGGGCTGGAGCACCTCCCCTGTGAGGAAGGGCTGAGAGAGCTGGGGCTGTTCAGCCAAGAGAAAAGAAGGCTCCCAGGAGATACTACAGCAGCCTTCTAGTACTTAAAGGGGGCTACAGGAAAGATGGAGAGGGACTATTTATCAGGGGGTGTACTGATAGGACGAGGGGTAACAGTTTTAAACTGAAAGAGGGTAGATTTAGATTAGTTAAGGAAGAAATTCTTTACTGTGAGGGTGGTGAGACACTGGAATAGGTTGCCCAGAAAGGTTGTGGGTGCCCCCTCCCCAGGCTGGGCAGGGCTTTGAGCAACCTGATCTAGTGGAAGGTGTCCCTTGCCCTGGCAGGGGGGTTTGAACTAGATGGTCTTTAAGGTCCCTTCTAACCCAAACCATTCCGTGATTCCATGTGCTGGGGTAGGACAGGGAGAGACAGCCAAAAATTTTCTAAGGCTGGTAAGAATCGGGGTAAGAAAGAACACCTACAGAAAGTGAAAACTGAAAATTAAAATCTCAATTATTTATGTGACCCATGTTCACTCTGGAGGTGCTTTGGGAGGTTTTGATGGAAAATGGTGACACGACAAACATATCAGAAACTCAGTGAAGTATCCTACTGAGCACGGTAATAGATTTTTCTGTATAATGGATTCCACATCTTTTGATGCAGCCCAGGATGCAGCTGGCTTTCTGGGCTACAAACACATGTTGAGCTTCTCATCAACCAACACCCCCCAAGCCCTACTCCGCAGGGCTCTCAATCCACTCTTTGCCCAGCCTGTATTTGTGCTTGGGATTGCCTTGACCTATGTACAGGACCTTGCACTTGGCCTTGTTGAGAGGTGGGTCCGTGCAAACCTCATGAAGTTCAAGTCTGTCCAGTCTCCTTCCCTTCAGCATGTCGGCCGCACCACACAGCTTGGTGTCGTTGGCAAACCTGCTGAGGGTGCACTCAATCCCACTGTCCGTGTCGCCAACAAAGATGTTAAACAGCCTGGTGCCAACACCGACCCCTGAGGAACACCACTTGTCACTGCTCTTCATTTGGACATTGAACCATTGACCGCAACTCTTTGAGTGTGAGCATCCCATCCCACCAATTCCATATCCACTGAGTGGTCCATCCATCACATCCATGTCTCTCCAATTTAGAGACAAGGAAGTTGTGCAGGACAGTGTCAAATGCTTTGCACAAGTCCAGGTAGGTGATGAGTTGCTCTTCCCTTATCCACCAACACTGCAGAAGGCCACCATTGTAGAAGGCCACCAGATTTGTCAGGCATGATTTGCCCTTAGTGACACAATGCTAGCTGTCACAAATCACCTCTTTATCTTCCATGTGCCTCAGCACAGTTTCCAGGAGGATCTACTCCATGATCTTACTGGGCACAGAGGTGAGACTAACAGGCCTGTAGCTCCCCAGGTTTTTCTTTTTTCTCCTTTTTAAAAATGGGGATTATGTTTCCCCTCTTCCAGTCATCAGGAACTTCACTGGACTGCCATGACTTCTCAAATATAGTGGACATTGGCTTAATCACTTCATCTGCCAGTCTCCTCAGGACCTGCAGATGCATCTCATCGAGTCCCATGGACTTCTTTCTTAGATGGTCTCCAACCTGATCTTCTCCTGCAGTGGCTGGTTCTTCATTCTCCCAGTCCCTGCCTTTGCCTTCTGCAACCTGGGCAGCGTAGCTGGAGCACTTGCCAGCGAAGACCAAGGCAAAAACGTCGTTAAGTACCTCAGCCTTCTCCATGTCCCAGACAACCAGGTCTCCCATTTCCTTCTGGAGAGGGCCCACATTTTCCATATTCTTCCTTTTATCACCAATGTACATATAGAAGCTTTTCTTGTTGCTCTGACATCCCTGGCCAGATTTAATTCTATCGGGGCTTTGGCCTTCCTAACGCGATTCCTGGCTACTCAAGACAGCTTCTCTGTATGCCTCCCAGATTACCTGTCTTTGCTTCCACCCTCTGTAGGCTTCCTTTTTGCATTTGTGTTTGTCCAGGAGCTCCTTGTTCATCCATGCAGGCCTCCTGGTATTTTTGCCTGGCTTCCTCTTTTTTGGGATGCATTGCTCCTGAGCTTGGAGGAGGTGATCCTTGAATATTAACCAGCTTTCTTGGGCCCCTCTTCCCTCCAGGGCTTTATCCCATGCTGCTCTGCCAAGCAGATCCCTGAAGAAGCCAAATTCTGCTCTCTTGAATTCCAGGGTAGTGAGCTTGCTGTGCACCCTCCTCACTCACTGCCCTAAGGATCCTGAACTCCACCATTTCATAGTCACTGCAGCCAAGGCTGCCATTGAGCTTCACACTCCCCACCAGCCCCTCCTTGTTGGTGAGAATGACATCCACCATAGCAGCTCTCCTCATTGTCTTCCCTATCAGTTGGAGAAGGACATTATCATCCACACATTCCAGGAACCTCCAGGATTGCTTGTGCCCTGCTGTGTTGTCCCTCCAACAGGTATTGGGGTGCTTGAAGTCTCCCACGGGGACTAGGGAGTGCGTTAATTGTGAACATGAAGCTGCTCCTATCTGTCTACAGAGGGCCTCATCGGCTCCTGGCTGGATGTCCTGAAGCAGACCCTCAACTATAATCTCACCTGTCCCTGCATTTCCTTAAATCCTGACCCATAATCTCTTGGTTGGCTCCTCATCCATCCCATCCCCAGGCAGAGCTCCATGCACTCCAGCTGGTCACTGACATAGATGTCAAACCCTTCCCCCTCATCCCCCCTACCTGTCCTTCCTCAAGGGCATGTATCCTTCCATTCTAACACTCCAGCCATAGAAGCCATCCCACCACATCTCTGTGATGCCAATAAGATCATAGCCCTCAGGCATGCACACATCTCTAGCTCTTCTTGTTTATTCATCATCATCAGAAGAAAAGGATTTATGGCTGGTTTTATCCCTTTTGCAAGCTGCTTCTCAAATTCTTTTCGTCTGCCTTATTCTGATTTTTATATTTAACCCATATGTGAGTTAATGAGACTCCTCATCTTATGCAATTCCCCCTTCTGAAATTAAATGCATCAATCGTTTCTTTGGCTTTTATTATTCCTGCAAGAATATTAAAACTACAGTCTGGCTCTTCTAAAGCAACATCTGAATCCAATTAGCTGAGTACTGCTTCAAATCAAGTCAAGAAGTGCTGCTTTTCTCAGGGGTTCACTGAGTAGCGGCTCTAAGTCATCATTTGTAGCATCTAAACAATTGCACTTGCTGTCACACCCTGACATCTGTAATCCAACCTATGAGAGGATAAGTAATTCTTCCTTTTGTTTTTTTATCCAGTCCTTGCCACCCCTCTGATTTTCTTTAACAGAGCAGTCATACCCTCCATCTCATTGGGTGGCCAGTAACCAGGTTGTTTTTCCTCCACAGGGCTGGTATTTCAGTCCAGATGTATTTTACCGACAAAACCCACCAGGAATCAGATTTAACAGTAAAGCTTTCTTTAACAGATACTACCACTTCTCTTTTGGGTTGAGATACTCCATTTTTCCTGTGTAGTTTGTGCCCTAGTATTAGAAAGTCCCACTGACAGTTGTGATAAGCCTTCTGGATAAGCATTTGTATTTCAAACCAGCCACTCCAGTTCCCTGTTGCACTTTCCAGATTTGTCTGTGGAAGCACACACCTTTTGGTCCAGTCACACTTTTCGCCCTAGTGAAACAGGACAATTTGTTCAAACTACTCTCTGCCATTTCCACTGTGTTCTGACAACCTCAATCCTGACATTTGTTCAAAGGCACACAGATCTTACCGCCTCACCCCAAGGAAATGTGTGATCCCAAACTGTGTTCTCTTCCACACCTGACACTCTGCCTTTAAGAAACCGTTAAAGACTCCCCTATGAAAGCTTTTGAATTTTAAGTGCCAGAAGCCTGGTTTTGATTTTCTCTAGATTAAGTCTTTCCTCCCTGCACAAGCTCCATCTGTTCCATGTAGTTCTGTGAGTCTGAACACTTTCTTCCTATACCACACTCCCAGCTATACAGTAAGACTCCTGTGTGTTTGACCTTGTATTTCCCTGCAGGTGACAGCAGGGGCATTTCACGAAACATGATCATAGGAGCTTTTATGCTCCTACCTGGAAAACCTAGTTCTGCCTCTCTGTTGCACCTCCCCGGAGTTGAGTTTCCAAGCAAGCCATCACCACACTCCTCCCTAACACTTCCTCTAAGTCTGTCCATGTATCTACTGACGCCACCACTTCAGCACCTCATAATTCTGCCTTCTCTCATTGCTGAATCAAGTACCTGTATGCCCAATAACTAAATTAACTGGTACAGTAGCCTATCACCTAAGACAAAGAGGACACACAATCAAATCCCTTCAGGAACACAGAACCCACCAGAGATTCCTCTATTTCCTTACCCAAGGAAGGGAACAAACTCAACTAGCCCATTTATGCACATACATGAATATGCCATGTTTGGGATACTTTACCATCTCACTAGATTTATGCACAGAGTCCTCACTGTTTTAATCCAGCAATAGCGCTTCATATTAAAAAAAGTAAAATAAATTAAGACTTAGTAGAAAAATATTGAGAAAACTCTTTTCTACCTCTGATCAGCTCCTAGTGTCACTTCTAAGATGCACTGTACTAATTTTCTCTGCAACGGTACATTCAGGGTCCCTACTAACTCATCCTGTCAAAGTAGGAGACTATGCACTGATGTGTCACAGAAATACGTGACAGAGCACTTTTGCTCCTAGATCACAGTATTTGTCTCACGTTACACACAATCCCCAAATGTTAGTCACATAATGCTAAAAAGCATCCATCCAGCTTGACCTGAGATATCACCAGATATCTGCTGGTTTCATAGCTGCACAGGTTATAACTCAAGAAGGCCCCTGATCTTCAAGTGTCCACCTAGTAGCAGTGCAAGGTCTCCCACAAGGACTGTCTGCCAGATGTACCCATTCCATGAGGCAGGCCCCAGCATCAGAGACCTTTCAACTCTCATTAATACCGATTAATTCTTCCTTAAAAAAAAAAAAAAAAAAAAAATGTAAGGTTACCATAAAGAATAGTTTTTAACTACCAGGACTAAGATGAGAGAGCAGAGTCACTGTGATCACAACTAATGTACAAACCAGGTTGGACACATTTCTATTTGTGGTACTTTAAATGAAAATTTAATCATCTGAACACTCACACTGACAGGGTGGTACATCAATGCTCATACAGACACTCTGGAGGGATGTATTTCACTGTTCATAAACTAATATAAGCTAAATTAGGAAGCCTATTTTGAAATCACAGTCTACATTAGGATTTATACCTCTAGCTTTAGATAAGGAACTGTCATTAAATATGCCAGCTTACTTTCTCCCATAGCTAAACTTCTGGATGAAATAGCGTGAAGCACCAAGTCACACCTCAGTATAAATTAGACAAACTGAGAAAAACATAGACCTGGGAAATCTTTTGCCCAAGTTACAACTCATTTCTCATTCTGTTTTTATTGTTTATTTCTCAAATATAAAACACTTTTCTTGACGTGGTAACATACACCCACAGACCAAATCTCTCAGCAGAAATGCTCTCCAGCACCACAGCGGTCCAGAGTGCAATTCCTTTGCATGTAGTCATAAGAAAAATTGGACTGGAAAGGAGTTCTAGAAGTCCCTCCTCACCTCCCTTCAGTTGCTCAGAGCCTTGTCCTGTTGAGCTCTGACTATCCCAAAGGCTGGAAACTCTACAGTCTCCCCTGACAACTTCATTCACTGCTTAACAGCTCTCAGGGTGAAGAATTTTTTATGTTCTTTCAATAATTTTTTCCTTACGACCTCCTCTTGGGCCACTTGCGGTAGCTGCCTCTGCCTTTCACCACACCCCTCAGAACCTGCCTCTGATTTCTCTATAAACCCTTCTATGAGCTACATAGGCTTTGTTCCGTAAGCCCTCCGTGGTGAAAAGGAAAGGTATTGGTTTTGTTGTTTCTTCTGAAGAAGTTTTAGTAAGTTTATTCACATTTTGCAAGAGGGAAACAACCTCTCTTCAGCCTAGCTAAAGTCTATATAAATCAAGGATTGGTTACAAATGTCCCTTCCCAGCCAAAAACTTGCCTCTTCCCCCACCAAGGCTTCATCACAACCTGAAAAAAGTTACGAGTAAACCTAGTTTACCTAGTCCTCCCGCGGCATGACGATTTAAGAGCGGACTTAAACGTCGACCCTCAGGAGAAACGGCGCAGGGGGGAGGCAGCTGGTGTTGGCGCAAACGTCTCTTCCCCAAAACCCCAGCACGGACTTTCTGAAACCGCATTTTCGGTTCCCGGCGGCTTGCTGGCCGCAGACCGAGGGCGCAGCCCGCCTTCCCAGCGGGACGGGAGCCCCGCCGCCGCGCCCGGGAGGGCTCCCGGCCCGGCCC